GGTGTCATCTCTCTCCTGTCCCGGATGCCGGGTGTCATCTCTCTCCTGTCCCGGATGCCGGGTGTCATCTCTCTCCTGTCCCGGATGCCGGGTGTCATCTCTCTCTTGTCCCGGATGCCGGGTGTCATTCTCGGTCTCCTGTCCCGGATGCCGGGTGTCATTCTCGGTATCTCCTCTCCGGATGCCGGGTGGAATTCTCGGTATCTCTGTCCCGGATGCCGGGTGGAATTCTCGGTATCTCCTCTCCCGGATGCCGGGTGGAATTCTCGGTATCTCCTGTCCCGGATGCCGGGTGTCATTCTCGGTATCTCCTCTCCCGGATGCCGGGTGGAATTCTCGGTATCTCCTCTCCCGGATGCCGGGTGTCATTCTCGGTATCTCCTGTCCCGGATGCCGGGTGGAATTCTCGGTATCTCCTGTCCCGGATGCCGGGTGGAATTCTCGGTATCTCCTGTCCCGGATGCCGGGTGTCATTCTCGGTATCTCCTGTCCCGGATGCCGGGTGTCATCTCTCTCCTGTCCCGGATGCCGGTGTCATCTCTCTCCTGTCCCGGATGCCGGGTGTCATCTCTCTCCTGTCCCGGATGCCGGGTGTCATTCTCTCTCTTGTCCCGGATGCCGGGTGTCATTCTCGGTATCTCCTGTCCCGGATGCCGGGTGTCATTCTCGGTATCTCCTGTCCCGGATGCCGGGTGGAATTCTCGGTATCTCCTGTCCCGGATGCTGGGTGTCATTCTCGGTATCTCCTGTCCCGGATGCCGGGTGGAATTCTCGGTATCTCCTGTCCCGGATGCCGGGTGTCATTCTCGGTATCTCCTGTCCCGGATGCCGGGTGGAATTCTCGGTATCTCCTGTCCCGGATGCTGGGGTGTCATTCTCGGTATCCTCTCCTGTCCCGGATGCCGGGTGGAATTCTCGGTATCTCCTGTCCCGGATGCCGGGTGTCATTCTCGGTATCTCCTGTCCCGGATGTATGCCGGGTGGAATTCTCGGTATCTCCTGTCCCGGATGCCGGGTGTCATTCTCGGTATCTCCTGTCCCGGATGCCGGGTGGAATTCTCGGTATCTCCTGTCCCGGATGCCGGGTGTCATTCTCGGTATCTCCTGTCCCGGATGCCGGGTGGAATTCTCGGTATCTCCTGTCCCGGATGCTGGGTGTCATTCTCGGTATCTCCTGTCCCGGATGCCGGGTGGAATTCTCGGTATCTCCTGTCCCGGATGCCGGGTGTCATTCTCGGTATACGTTGTTCTCTGTCGGGAATTATTTTCCCTTTTATGGTCTCTTTATAATGAGATGTAGCTGAGAGCCGAGTTCAGTGTGCAGCTCTCAGTGGGGGATGGTGGAGTGACCTGTGAAATGGGGGGGTAATCAGTGATATGGGGGGGTGATCAGTGATATGGGGAGATCTGTGATATGGAGGGGGGGGGGGGGTGACCTGTGATATGGAGGGGGGGGGGTGACCTGTGATATGGGGGGGTGACCTGTGATTTTGGGAGGGGTGACCTGTGATATGGAGGGGTGACCTTTGATTTTGGGTGACCTGTGATATGGAGGGGTGACCTTTGATTTTGGGGGTGACCTGTGATATGGGGGGGTGACCTATGATTTTGGGGGGGGAGACCTGTGATATGGAGGGTGACCTGTGATATGGAGGGGGTGACCTGTGATATGGAGGGGTGACCTGTGATATGGGGGGGGTGACCTGTGATGTATGGGGGGGGTGACCTGTGATATGGGGGGGGTGACCTGTGATATGGGGGGGGTGACCTGTGATATGGGGGGAGGGTGACCTGTGATATGGGGGGGGGGTGACCTGTGATATGGGGGGGGGGGTGACCTGCGATATTGAGGGGGGTGACCTGCGATATGGGGGGGGTGACCTGCGATATGGGGGGGGGGGGGTGACCTGCGATATGGGGGGGGGTGACCTGCGATATGGAGGGGGGTGACCTGTGATATGGACGGGGGGGGGGTGACCTGTGATATGGAGGGGGGGTGACCTGTGATATGGGGGGGGGTGACTTGTGATATGGGGGGGTGACCTGTGATATGGGGGGGTGACCTGTGATATGGGGGGGTGACCTTGGATAAGGGGGGGTGACCTGTGATTTTGGGGTGACCTGTGATATGGGGGGTGACCTGTGATTTTGGGGTGACCTGTGATGGGGGGGGTGACCTGTGATTTTGGGGTGACCTGTGATAACATCACATCTGCTGGGCCGTCTGGCCGGGAACGCTGAGATCTGATTGGTCGGGTGAAGATTTCGCAGGGCGTTGGGTCTGTCGTTGCCTCACACAGGAAGTCTGGTGTCACCGATGGAGGAGGAAGTCAGCCGATCGCTCAGAATAGATTGGGGGGGGGGCAGGGCGGGGGGGGGGGGGGGGGGTTACTTCACACCTCAGTGTTTGGTGTTCTTCCTTTAGTTGTGGATGGAGCGGGGAGGAGGAGAGGATTCCATCTTCTGTCAGGTGACGTCCAGGAGACTGCAAATCCAACATTTTACAGTTGTCACCAGAGCAGGAAGTGAGGGGACACCGGGGGGGGGGGGGGGGGGGGGGGGTCGGGTTCCTGTGACTCTGTAGAGATGTCATGTGACCATATATGGTGGTGGCGGGGGTTGGGGTGTCGGTACCCTGCAGAGGCTCTGCATAGGTCAGGGGAGGGACTCCCCCGCCCAGCATGGCCCAATCACACTTGTGCTCGTTGTTTGCGGTGAATGGAGGAGGGGAGGTCGGGGTCACACCTGGGGGGGGGCGCCAGCATTTGTATGAAGGCATCCCATTGGCTGATGCCCCCAGGCCGGTCTGGTGCCACAGAGCTGAGGATCTCCTGACCCCCCCCCCCCCCCCCCCCCGCCCATCGCCTCCACCCCTCCTCCAGTCCGGGTCTCCTCTCCAGCTGTACCCAGAGCACCAGCCAATCAGGAGACGGCTTTCAGATTGGTGGCGGCTTCATAAGGTGACGTGACGATGGCTCGGTATCCTAGCAACACATCGCTACACCTAATCCAAGACCCCCAAATGTCCCTCTGTGACCCCAGAACACCCCAAGCATCGTGTCACCCCATGACCCCCAGAACACCCCCCCCCCTGAGCATCCTGTGCCACCCCATGACCCCAGAGAACCAGAACACCCCCCCCCCGGGCATCCTGTCACCCCATGACCCAAGAACACCCCCCCCCGGGCATCCTGTCACCCCATGACCCAAGAACACCCCCCCCCGGGGCATCCTGTCACCCCATGACCCCAGAACACCCCCCCCCCCCCCCCCGAGCATCCTGTGCCACCCCATGACCCCAGAACACCCCCCCCCCCCCGAGCATCCTGTGCCACCCCATGACCCTAGAACACCCCCCCCGGCATCCTGTCACCCCATGACCTCAGAACCCCCCCCCAGGCATCCTGTGCCACCCTATGACCCAAGAACACTCCCCCCCCCCCGGGCATCCTGTCACCCTATGACCTCAGAACCCCCCCCCCCCCAGGCATCCTGTCACCCTATGACCCCAGAACACCCCCCCCCCAGGCATCCTGTGCCACCCTATGACCCCAGAACACCCCCCCCGAGCATCCTGTCACCCCATGACCCCAGAACACCCCCCCCCCCCCCCGGGCATCCTGTCACCCCATGACGCCAGAACCCCCCCCCCGAGCATCCTGTCACCCCATGACCCCAGAACACCCCCCGAGCATCCTGTGTCACCCCATGACCCCTGTGACCCGGTGCCCCCCTCAGTTCTGCCCCTGATGAGCCCCTCTCGGTGAATACGGACCCTTGTGTGTGTGGGCGGAGCCGGGTGTTGTCGCTGAGTCACCCCCCCCCCCAGCTGTCGCCCCCCCCGCCGGCTGTTGTGGGGAGCGGATGAGGGAACAGCTGCTGCGGGAATGTGGCGACGTCGGCGGAATCCTTCTATAACCGGCAGATGCCGGGCCGCGGCGCAGACGGTTGGCGAGATCAGAGGGACGCGGCGTTCTATTGGACGCTCTCATTCATCGATCGGTATCCTGGAGACGATCATTCCTCGACCAGACGCAGCGAACGGCGACCACCGAACCTTCCCCCCGCGCCTCCGAGGACAGGTGGGGTCACAGGCGTGACGCGGGCGTCACATGTATGACCGATGATGGACGGCCGCTCTCTGCCATTCACCGCCATTGTCCGCCATTCACCGCCATTGTCTGCCATTCACCGCCATTGTCCACCGTTCGCCGCCATTGTCCGCCATTCACCGCCATTGTCCGCCATTCACCCGTCCGCCATTGTCCCATTCACCGCCATTGTCCGCCATTCACCGCCATTGTCCGCCATTCACCGCCGTTCATTGTCCGCCAGCCATTGTCCGCCGTTCGCCGCGCCATTGTCCGCCATTCACCGCCATTGTCCGCCATTCACCGCCATTGTCCGCCATTCACCGCCATTGTCCGCCATTGTCCGCCATTCACCGCCATTGTCCGCCATTCACCGCCATTGTCCACCGTTCACCGCCATTGTCCACCGCGCATTGTCCGCCATTCACCGCCATTGTCCGCCATTCACCGCCATTGTCCGCCATTCACCGCCATTGTCCGCCGTTCACCGCCATTGTCCGCCATTCACCGCCATTGTCCACCGTTCGCCGCCATTGTCCGCCATTCACCGCCATTGTCCGCCATTCACCGCCTTAAAGGAGAACTCCGATGACACGCAAACAATCCGCCTCGTCATCGGGGTTTTGATGTTTTTGGTGTCGCGTTTCGCTGTTTTACGGCGATATTTCTTCGGTCGTCAAATTTAATGAACTGAAACTCGAGTGGAGGAGGGGGGGGGGGGGGGGGATCGGGTTCCCATCCATCCATCCCCCGCCAGGGATCTCATTGTGTGCCGAGGATACTTTGCATGTCAGATAAACAAATCCGCGTCTGCGGTCACAAGGCCCCGCCCCGTCACAAGGCCCCGCCCCCTTCCAGGTGATCCCCTTCTAACCTGTCCTTTGCTTTCAGGTGTGTCCCGGAGCGGAGATGGCGGAGAACGCGGAGAACACGGAACACCGCGACACCGAGAACAACTGGGTGATCCCCAACACCCGAGGTACGGGGGAGGGGCTGGAGGGGCGCGCCGACTCCTGATTGGGCAAATGTTCAAATCCGCATTTCTGGCTAAAAAAGAACATTTTCTTGAAATTTACTGAAACCGGAAAACGGGATCCCTGAGTGTCAGGAGACAGGTCCTCTTCATGGAGATTCCACCAGACTCAGAACTCCCGACATCCCCCACCCCCCCCATTCTACCCCCTCCGCTCCATCCCCCCCCATCTGCCCCATCCCCCCCATTCGCTCTGTCCCCCCCATTCCCCCCATCTGCCTCATACCCCCCATCCCCCCCCTCTCCATCCGCTCTATTTCCCCCCATCCCCCCCATTCGCTCTGTTCCCCCCATCTGCCTCATACCCCCCATCCCCCCCATCCGCTCTATTCCCCCATCCCCCCCATCTGCCTCATACCCCCCATCTGCCCCATCCCCCCCATCCGCTCTGTTTCCCCCACCTGCCTCATACCCCCCTCCATCCTCCCCCATCCCCATCATCCTCTCCATTCACCCCATCCACTCCATCTTCTACACCCCTCCCCCCCCATCCTCTCCACCCCCCCCCCCCCCCCACATTCTCCCACCCCCCCCATCCTCTCCACCCCCCCCCCCTCCTTTTCAGCCAGGATTTTGCCAGCATGTGCAGTATGTGATTATTGTGGCCCTCGTGTGATTATTGTGGCCCCTGTGTAAGTCAGCATTTAAGGGGTGTGACCATTGTGCCCCCTCTGAAATCGTTGTGGCCCCGTGTGATCATTTGCCCCTGTGTACTCATTATGGCCCCCATGTTATCATTGTGGCCCGTGTATTCATTGTGGCCCCCATGTTATCATTGTAGCCCCTGTGTACTCATTCCCCCATGGTCCCCATGTGATCCTTGTGGCCCCTGTGTACTCATTCTGGCCCCCATGTGATCCTTGTGGCCCCTGTGTACTCATTCTGGCCCCCATGTGATCCTTATGGCCCCTGTGTACTCATTATGGCCCCCCATAAGATCATTGTGGCCCCTGTGTACTCATTCTGGCCCCCATGTGATCCTTGTGGCCCCTGTGTACTCATTATGGCCCCCATAAGATCATTGTGGCCCCTGTATACTCATTCTGGCCCCCACGTGATCCTTGTGGCCCCTATGTACTCATTCTTGGCCCCACGTGATCCTTGTGGCCCCTGTGTACTCATTCTTGTCCCCACGTGATCCTTGTGGCCCCTGTGTACTCATTCTGGCCCCCATGTGATTTTTTGTTGCCCACTGTGTATTCATTCTGGCCCCCATGTGATCATTATGGCCCCTTTGTACTTAGTATGCCCCCCCCATAAGATCATTGTGGCCCCTGTGTACTCATTCTGGTCCCCACATGATCTTTGTGGCCCCTGTGTACTCATTCTGGTCCCCATGTGATCCTTGTGGCCCCTGTGTATTCATTATGGCCCCCCATAAGATCCTTGTGGCCTCTGTGTATTCATTCTGGGCCCCACGTGATCCTTGTGGCCCCTTGTGTACTCATTATGGCCCCCCATAAGATCCTTGTGGCCCCTGTGTACTCATTCTCATTCTGGCCCCCATGTGATCCTTATGGCCCCTGTGTACTCATTATGGCCCCCCATAAGATCATTTTGGCCCCTGTGTATTCATTCTGGGCCCACGTGATCCTTGTGGCCCCTGTACAGCCCACCATGTGCTCTCTCTGTATCTGTGGCTCTCACTCTTGGCTCGGGGGGGGGGGGGGGGGGGGGGGGTGACACGCTGACTAAACTGGCGCTATTTATAGAGGTGAGTAAGATGACCCGGCCCAGCGGATCCCAGACGTCTCCAGCCTGAGCGCCCCCCTCCCCCGTGTACTGGGGGTGATACCCAGCAGCCAATCAGAATGTAGTGTGTCCGATCTCTGAAAGGAAAGCTTCCATCTGATTGGCTGCGGTTGTACAGTAGAGTCCTCGCTGCCCATCCCCCATCCAATATTTTAACCGTCTGTGATGGAAGATACGATGTAACAACCGTCTGATGGAAGATACGATGTAACAACCGTCTGATGGAAGATACGATGTAACAACCGTCTGTGATGGAAGAAGATACGATGATAACAACCGTCTGATGGAAGATACGATGTAACAACCGTCTGATGGAAGATACGATGTAACAACCGTCTGTGATGGACGATACGATGTAACAACCGTCTGTGATGGAAGATACGATGTAACAACCGTCTGTGATGGAAGATACGATGTAACAACCGTCTGTGATGGAAGATACGATGTAACAACCGTCTGTGATGGAAGATACGATGTAACAACCGTCTGATGGAAGATACGATGTAACAACCGTCTGATGGAAGATACGATGTAACAACCGTCTGATGGAAGATACGATGTAACAACCGTCTGATGGAAGATACGATGTAACAACCGTCTGATGGAAGATACGATGTAACAACCGTCTGTGATGGAAGATACGATGTAACAACCGTCTGTGATGGAAGATACGATGTAACAACCGTCTGATAGAAGATACGATGTAACAACCGTCTGTGATGGGAAGATACGATGTAACAACCGTCTGATGGAAGATACGATGTAACAACCGTCTGTGATGGAAGATACGATGTAACAACCGTCTGATGGAAGATACGATGTAACAACCGTCTGATGGAAGATACGATGTAACAACCGTCTGTGATGGAAGATACGATGTAACAACCGTCTGATGGAAGATACGATGTAACAACAACCGTCTGTGATGGAAGATACGATGTAACAACCGTCTGATGGAAGATACGATGTAACAACCGTCTGTGATGGAAGATACGATGTAACAACCGTCTGTGATGGAAGATACGATGTAACAACCGTCTGTGATGGAAGATACGATGTAACAACCGTCTGATGGAAGATACGATGTAACAACCGTCTGTGATGGAAGATACGATGTAACAACCGTCTGATGGAAGATACGATGTAACAACCGTCTGATGGAAGATACGATGTAACAACCGTCTGTGATGGAAGATACGATGTAACAACCGTCTGTGATGGACAACCGTCTGATACGATGTAACAACCGTCTGTGATGGACGATACGATGTAACAACCGTCTGTGATGGAAGATACGATGTAACAACCGTCTGATGGAAGATACGATGTAACAACCGTCTGATGGAAGATACGATGTAACAACCGTCTGATGGAAGATACGACGTAACAACCGTCTGTGATGGAAGATACGATGTAACAACCGTGTGATGGAAGATACGATGTAACAACCGTCTGTGGAAGATACGATGTAACAACCGTTGTGTGATGGAAGATACGATGTAACAACCGTGTGATGGAAGATACGATGTAACAACCGTCTGATGGAAGATACGATGTAACAACCGTCTGTGATGGAAGATACGATGTAACAACCGTCTGTGATGGAAGATACGATGTAACAACCGTGTGATACGAAGATACGATGTAACAACCGTCTGATGGAAGATACGATGTAACAACCGTGTGATGGAAGATACGATGTAACAACCGTCTGTGATGGAAGATACGATGTAACAACAACCGTCTGATGGAAGATACGATGTAACAACCGTCTGATGGAAGATATGGAAGATACGATGTAACAACCGTCTGTGATGGAAGATACGATGTAACAACCGTCTGATGGAAGATACGATGTAACAACCATCTGATGGAAGATACGATGTAACAACCGTCTGATGGAAGATACGATGTAACAACCGTCTGATGGAAGATACGATGTAACAACCGTCTGATGGAAGATACGATGTAACAACCGTCTGTGATGGAAGATACGATGTAACAACCGTCTGTGATGGAAGATACGATGTAACAACCGTCTGTGATGGAAGATACGATGTAACAACCGTCTGATGGAAGATACGATGTAACAACCGTCTGTGATGGAAGATACGACGTAACAACCGTCTGTGATGGAAGATACGATGTAACAACCGTCTGTGATGGAAGATACGATGTAACAACCGTCTGATGGAAGATACGATGTAACAACCGTCTGTGATGGAAGATACGATGTAACAACCGTCTGTGATGGAAGATACGATGTAACAACCGTCTGATGGAAGATACGATGTAACAACCGTCTGTGATGGAAGATACGATGTAACAACCGTCTGATGGAAGATACGATGTAACAACCGTCTGTGATGGAAGATACGATGTAACAACCATCTGTGATGGAAGATACGATGTAACAATCGTCTGATGGAAGATACGATGTAACAACCGTCTGTGATGGAAGATACGATGTAACAACCGTCTGTGATGGAAGATACGATGTAACAACCGTCTGTGATGGAAGATACGATGTAACAACCGTCTGTGATGGAAGATACGATGTAACAACCGTCTGATGGAAGATACGATGTAACAACCATCTGTGATGGAAGATACGATGTAACAACCGTCTGATAGAAGATACGATGTAACAACCGTCTGATGGAAGATACGATGTAACAACCGTCTGTGATGGAAGATACGATGTAACAACCGTCTGTGATGGAAGATACAATGTAACAACCGTCTATAATATCCAGAAATAAAGACCGTTGAGTGAAGTTTCTGGTCTTTGTACCCGGCTTGTTCCCGGACCTCTTCTCCTCCTGGGATTGGTGATCCTTGTGGGCGGTCTCTGGATGAGGATGAAGATTATATTCTTCGTATTATCCAAGGTTCTCCTGGTGATGGAGCATGCTAAGAGGAGGAGAGAGCAGAGAGATGAGCTGTCCCTGTCCAATCACAGGCGGGGGGGAGGGGACAGGACCAATTGCAGCAGAGAGAAATCCGTTCCCAAAGAATCACATGACTTTGTATTCACCTATACCAGGACTGGTGGGGGGGGGCTTCATCTATCTATAGGGTGGGGACCGGAGGGGCGGGGTTTATGATCTGAGAATTTGGGTGTTGGATGAGGGAGATGATTAACCTCTGATCTGATTGTGACCTTCATTCTCAGGGCCTCCCGGTGGAGACGGTGGGGGATGAGCGCGGGGAGTCGCTGCCCAGCCATGAAGAGGTTAAGCCTGCAGGTAATGGGGCCAATACACCGGGAGAAGGTTGTATTCTGGGCGTCCCGGAGCTGGTTCCGTTATTGTCCTTCACCGGGTTCTGGAGCAGGGGCGGGGCATAGCGGTGGCAGGGCAGAGCAGGGGCGGGGCAGAGTGGGGGCGGGGCATAGTCATAGCAAGATGCTTCTCACACCGTGAACTCATTACCCGACCCTCATAGAGTGTGCCAGTAAGGACAATAGACTCCTAGACCTGGGGTCACTGGAGATATTGGGGTCACTGGAGACATTGAGGTCACAGAGACCCTGGAGTACTGGAGATACTGGGGATACGGGGGTCACTGGAGACATTGGGGTCACAGAGACCCTGGAGTACTGGAGATACTGGGGATACGGGGGGTCACTGGAGACATTGGGGTGCTAGAGACCCTGGAGTACTGGGGATACTGGGGATACGGGGGGTCACTGGAGACATTGGGGTGCTAGAGACCCTGGAGTACTGGAGATACTGGGGACACGGGGGGGGGGGGGGGGGGGGGGGGGGGGGGGGGTCACTGGAGACATTGGGGTCCCAGAGACCCTGGAGTGCTGGGGATACTGGGGATACGGGGGGTCACTGGAGACATTGGGGTGCTAGAGACCCTGGAGTACTGGAGATACTGGGGACACGGGGGGGGGGGGGGGGTCACTGGAGACATTGGGGTCCCAGAGACCCTGGAGTGCTGGGGATACTGGGGACATGGGGGGGTTACAGAGACACTGAAATGTTGGGGATCCTAAACACTAACCCTGTCCCCCAACCCGACTCTTACCCTAACCCCCCTAATTCCAACTCCTACACTCTAACTCTGACCCCCCAACCCACTAATCCTAGTCTCCTGACGCCAACTCTCTGACCCCCAACTCTCTGACCCCCAACTCTCTGACCCCCAACTCTCTGACCCCCAACTCTCTGGCCCCCAACTCTGTGACCCTCAACTCTCTGACCCCAACTCTCTGACCCCGACTCTGTGACCCCCAACTCTCTGGCCCCCAACTCTGTGACGCCCCACTCTGTGACCCCCCCACTCTCTGACCCCGACTCTGTGACCCCCAACTCTGTGACTCCCAACTCTGTGACCCCGATTCTCTGACCGCCAACTCTCTGACCACCCCCAACCTGTGACCCCGATTCTCTGACCACCAACTCTCTGACCCCCCACTCTGTGACCCCCACTCTGTGACTCCCAACTCTGACTCCCAGTTCTCTGACCCCCAACATTCCAACCCTAGCACTAACTACACTTATCCTCTAACCTCACCCCGACCCGCTACCCCCAACATTCTAACCCCTAGGATGATCCCCGAACCATCTAGCCCTTCCCGCCCCCCTTATCTCACCCTCTCACTCCATTGAGGTTGGGGTGCCTGATGATGCCCCCCGTTATCTCAGTCTGGAGTCTCACCCGATTCTCTGTCTGATTTCAGGTCCTGAACCGTCCGCCATTCCTGAGAGAGAGGAGAGGGGAGTGCAGGAGGTGAAGGTAAGTGGGATATAATGAGCAGAACCTCGGGGGCGGGGTCACCGAGTCACATGATGAGTTCTGTTGATGTCACCTAGAAGGAACCATTGATCGGGACTTTCCCGTGTTTACATATTCGCTGTTCCAAACGGGCGGACTGACAACTCATGAGGCCCCCGGGCAATAGGGGATCATGGGGCCCCTGTGTACTTGCCCAAACTCAAAAAAAGTCTATGAAAAAGGTACCAGGGGCATCTCATGGGGCCTCCTACTGACCCCGGGCCCTCAAGCAGTGCCCGAATTTCCAAATGGTCAGTGCGCCCCTGGTTCCAAAGTTGCCGTTTATATTTCTATAGAGATGTCCAGTCCCTCACGGCTGGTGGCCCTATGAAATGCCCGCTGAGATAAGAGCAATTATCCACTGATGGGACTCCATAGACTTACACTGGGACACAGGAATATCAGCCCTTTAAATAGCCTTCTATATTTGTCCTCCTCAGGGGCCCGAATCTCCTCCTCAGGAGCCCGAGTCTCCTCCCACCGGCACCGAGATCCCGCCACACCAGGAGCAGCTGGAGATCCCCCCAGAGGAGGAGCCACAGAAACTAGGGGAGGAGCCAGGACTGCGCAGAAGATTGGGTGAGTGCAGATGACATCCTGCCGGGGGAAGGGGGCGTGTCAGCATCTGGGAGGGAGGGGTTTGGGCGTGTCAGCATCTGGGAGGGAGGGATTTGGGCGTGTCAGCATCTGGGAGGGAGGGGTTTGGGCGTGTCAGCATCTGGGAGGGAGGGGTTTGGGCGTGTCAGCATCTGGGAGGGAGGGGTTTGGGCGTGTCAGCATCTAGGAGGGAGGGGTTTGGGCGTGTCAGCATCTGGGAGGGAGGGGTTTGGGCGTGGCACCTCCCGCCGCTGACTGCGCTTTGTACCGGATGATCTCCCCGCCCCCGTATAACCTCCCCTCCCCCTCTCTGTCTTCTTGTCTTGAAGCGCGTTACATTGGGAAGTTAGTGCAACTCCTCCCCGATTCCCCACCGCTGAGCGGACTCCGGAGCTGGGGGCCACGCTCTGCTAGCGGATCAGGTGCTGCGTGTGACGCATGGTGTGTGATGGGCGGCCTGGCCTGCTTGTAGCATGAAATACTGTCATTGGAATGTGCATGGAAGCAGGGATGTGCCCCTCATGGGCACAAGGGGGAACCCCTCATAATGCACAGGGATGGTGGGAACCCCTGGGCACAGGGACCCCTCATAATGGGCACAGGGATGGGCACAGGGAAACCCCTCATAATGGGCACAGGGATGGGGGGAACCCCTCATAATGGGCACAGGGATGGGGGGAACCCCTCATAATGGGCACAGGGATGGGCACAGGAATGGGGGGAACCCCTCACAATCATAATGGGCACAGGGATGGTGGAACCCCTCATAATGGGCACAGGGACAGTGGGAACCCCTCATAATGGGCACAGGGATGGGGGGAACCCTTCATAATGGGCACAGGGATGGTGGGAACCCCTCATAATGGGCACAGGGATGGGGGGAACCCCTCATAATGGGGGATGGGGGAACCCCTCAGGGGCATGGCAGGAACCCCTCATAATGGGCACAGGGATGGGGGAACTCCTTATAATGGGCACAGGATGGTGGGAATCCCCTCATAATGGGCACAGGGATGGAAACCCCTCATAATGGGCACAGGAATGGGGAACCCTTCATAATGGCACAGGGATGGGGGAACCCCTCATAATGGGCACAGGGATGGGGGGAACCCCTCATAATGGGCACATGGGATGGGGGAACCCTCATAATGGGCACAGGGATGGGGGGAACCCCTCATAATGGGCACAGGGATGGGGGAACCCCTCATAATGGGCATAGGGATGGGGGGAACCCCTCATAATGGGCACAGGGATGGTGGGAACCCCTCATAATGGGCATAGGGATGGTGGGGACCCTCATATCTTGTCCTGACATCACAGGGACCCCGATAGGGCCATAGTTTGAACGTCTATCCCAGCATTGCGGAGTGACACTACATGTTATTGTATGTGATGTTCTGTGGTTTGATGCTCCTCCCACCCTGTGATTCAGTCACGTGTTGGTACCGCCCCTGCGGTTCCCCTCTCACCACCCCCCTGTTCTTGCTCTGTAGGAGGAGATCTGGAGGAGGTGAGCTGTTCCAGCAGTGATGATGATGTGGAGGGTCTCCGCAAACGTGCTGCGAGAGGAACCCGCCCACCAGTATAGGACCCGCCTCCACAGAGGCCGTACAGCAGGAGGCGGAGTCCGGGCTCTCACTCACCCTCAATAAATGTATCATTGCTGCCTGTGGCCCTGGTGGCTCTTGCTGTTCTGGTGTTCACAGGTGAGGAGGGAGCGGGGCGCCCCCTGATGGCTCCTGAGTGTCTGTGAATGGATGGTGAATGGTGTTCTCATGTCGTCACCAACATCACAGAGCTAACAAGGGGGGGCCATACAGAGCGCAACATAGACTGCATGGGCTACATGTAAATACCCCCCCCCCCACCAATCAATACCCCCCCCCCACCAATCATATATACTACCCCCTCCCCCCCCCCAATCATATATACTACCCCTCCCCCCCCACCAATCATATATACTACCCCTCCCCCCCCACCAATCATATATACCCCCCCCCCAATCATATATACCCCCCCCCCCAATCATATATACTACCCCCCCACCAATCATATAACCAATCATACCTAACCCCCCCCCCCACCAATCATATATACCCCTACCCCCTCACCCATATATACCCCCCCCCCACCAATCATATATACCCCCTCCCCCCACCAATCATCATATATACTAAATCATATATACTACCCCTCCCCCCCACCAATCATATATACCCCCCCCCATACCACCAATCATATATACCTCCCCCCCCACCAATCATATATACCTCCCCCCCCACCAATCATATATACTACCTCTCCCCCCCCACCAATCATATATACCACCCCTCCCCCCCCCACCAATCATATATACCTACCCCCCCCCCAATACCAATATATACTACCCCCCCCCCCAATCATATATCCCCCCCCCACCAAACCCTAAACCTACCTCCCCCCCCACCAATCATATATACCTCCCCCCCCCCCCCCCACCAATCATATATACTACCCCTCCCCCCCACCAATCATATATACCCCCCCCCCCCCCACCAATCATATATACCCTCCCCCCCACCAATCATATATACTACCCCCCCCCCCACCAATCATATATACCAACCCCCCCCCCCACCAATCATATATACCTCCCCCCCCCCCCAATCATATATACCCCTCCCCCCCCACCAATCATATATACCTCCCCCCCCCCCCAATCATATATACCCCCCCCCCACCAATCATATATACCATACCTCCCCCCCCCCAATCAATATACCCCCCCCCCACCAATCCATATATATACCCCCCCCCACCAATCATATATACTACCCCTCCCCCAACCAATCATATATACCCCCCCCCCACCAATCATATATACCTCCCCCCCCCCACCAATCATATATACACCCCCCCCCCCACCAATCATATATACCTACCCCCCCCCACCAATCATATATACCCCCCCCCCCACCAATCATATATACCCCCCCCCCACCAATCATATACTACCCCCCCCCCCCCAATCATATATACTACCCCCCCCCCACCAATCATATATACCACCCCCCCCCCCCACCAATCATATATACCCCCCCCTCCCCAACCAATCATATATACCACCCCTCCCCCCACCAATCATATATACTACCCCTCCCCCCACCAATCATATATACCCCCCCTTTCCCCCTACCCCCCACCCTATCATATATACTACCCCCCCCCCACCAATTCATTTATACTACCCCTCCCCCATATATACTGCACTATTCCTATTTCCTGCCCCGTCCCCAGCTGGATATATATATATACTCCCCCCCCACACCATATATAATGCCGCCCCCCACCTCTGGTCATATATACCTCCCCTCCCCCATCAGTCATATATACGGTCCCTCCCCCCCATATGCGGCCCCCCCCACCTCTGGTCATATATTCCTCCCCCATCAGTCATATATACGGTCCCTCCCCCCCATATGCGGCCACCCCCCACCTCTGGTCATATATTCCTCCCCCATCAGTCATCATATATACGGTCCCTCCCCCCCATATATATACTGCTGCCACCCCCCACCTCTGGTCATATATATACCTCACCTCCCCCATCAGTCATATATACGGTCCCTCCCCCCCATATGCCCCCCCCCATATGCTCCACCCCCCACCTCTGTCATATATACCCCCCCCCCCCCATCAGTCATATATACGGTCCCTCCCCCCCATATGCTGCCACCCCCACCTCTGGTCATATATACCTCCCCTCCCCCATCAGTCATGCATACGATATACCCAACCCCCCCCCCCCCCCCGTATATGCTGCTGCCCCCCATCTCTGGTCATATATTCCTCCCCCATCAGTCATATATACGGTCCCTCCCCCCCATATACTGCCACCCCCCCACCTCTGGTCATATATACCTCCCCTCCCCCATCAGTCATGCATACGATACCCAACCCCCCCCCCCCCCCCCCGTATATGCTGCTGCCCCCCCCCCCATCTGGTCATATATACCTCCCCCCCCCCCATCAGTCATATATACGGTCCCTCCCCCCCATATGCTGCCACCCCCCCCACCTCTGGTCATATATACCTCCCCCCCCCCCCACAGTCATATATACGGTCCCTCCCCCCCATATGCTGCCACCCCCCACCTCTGGTCATATATACCTCACCTCCCCCATCAGTCATATATACGGTCCCTCCCCCCCATATGCTGCCACCCCCCACCTCTGGTCATATATACCTCCCCCCCCCCCCCAATCATATATATCAGTCATGCATACCATCATACCCAACCCCCCCCCCCCCCCGTATATGCTGCTGCCCCCCATCTCTGGTCATATATTCCTCCCCCATCAGTCATATATACGGTCCCTCCCCCCCATATACTGCCACCCCCCCACCTCTGGTCATATATACCTCCCTCTCCCCCATCAGTCATGCATACGATACCCAACCCCCCCCCCCCCCCCGTATATGCTGCTGCCCCCATCTCTGGTCATATATTCCTCCCCCCCATCAGTCATATATACGGTCCCTCCCCCCCATATGCTGCCACCCCCCACCTCTGGTCATATATACCTCCCCTCCCCCATCAGTCATATATATGGTCCCTCCCCCCCATATGCGGCCACCCCCCACCTCTGGTCATATATACCTCCCCTCCCCCATCAGTCATATATACGGTCCCTCCCCCCCCCATATATACTGCCACCCCCCCACCTCTGGTCATATATACCTCCCCTCCCCCATCAGTCATATATACTGTCCCTCCCCTACTGTAGTGGGTTGGATCTCTGGGTTCAGGTCCGGCTCGGTCTTGCTGTATATGGAGGTGTTCTATAGTACATGGAGGTGTTCTGTATCTGCAGTCATTAATATCTTCCCTCTCCCCCAACAGGCGGCCTGGGAGGAGATGAAGGTAAGTCGTCCTCCATCGTTCTTTCCTTCCTATAACCCTCCACCTCCGAGGACTTCACTGACCGGCCCTGCCCAGCCCCCGGCCTGAACTCTGCAGAGCGGGACCTGGGCATGTGCACCGCGGCCTCCAGTCCCTGCAGCGGGGAACCATCAGTCAGGCTATGGAGAGGCATTGGGAGTCGGGCCCAGTCCAGGCGGAGCTCTGCTGAATTCTCTGATTTCGGGGTGGAGGCTGTGTGGTGGTGGATTGGTGGCGGACTGGTGACGGATTGGTGGCGGACTGGTGACGGATTGGTGGCGGACTGGTGACGGATTTGTGGCGGACTGGTGACGGATTGGTGGCGGACTGGTGATGGATTGGTGGCGGACTGGTGGCGGACTGGTGATGGATTGGTGGCGGACTGGTGATGGATTGGTGGCGGACCGGTGATGGATTGGTGGCGGACTGGTGATGGATTGGTGGCGGACTGATGATGGACTGGTGGCGGACTGGTGATGGATTGGTGGCGGACTGGTGGCGGACTGGATGGATGGATTGGTGGCGGACTGGTGATGGACTGGTGGCGGACTGGTGATGGACTGGTGGCGGACTGATGGCGGACTGGTGGCGGACTGGTGGCGCATTGGTGACGGATTGGTGGCGGACTGGTGATGGACTGGTGGCGGACTGGTGATGGTGATGGATTAGTGGCGGACTGGTGATGGATTGGTGGCGGACTGATGATGGACTGGTGGCGGACTGGTGATGGATTGGTGGCGGACTGGTGACAGATTGGTGGCGGACTGGTGACGGATTGGTGGTGGACTGGTGGCGGATTGGTGATGGTGACTGGTGATGGACTGGTGATGGATTGGTGGCGGACTGATGGCGGACTGGTGGCGCATTGGTGACAGATTGGTGGCGGACTGGTGACGGACTGGTGGCGGACTGGTGATGGATTGGTGGCGGACTGGTGATGGATTGGTGGCGGACTGATGATGGACTGGTGGCGGACTGGTGATGGATTGGTGGCGGACTGGTGACAGATTGGTGGCGGACTGGTGACAGATTGGTGGCGGACTGGTGATGGATTGGTGGTGGACTGGTGGCGGATTGGTGGCGGACTGTTGGCAGAGTGGTGATGGATTGGTGGCGGACTGGTGGCGGACTGGTGATGGATTGGTGGCGGACTGGTGGCGGACTGGTGATGGATTGGGTGGCGGACTGGTGATGGATTGGTGGCGGACTGGTGATGGATTGGTGGCGGACTGGTGATGGATTGGTGGCGGACTGGTGACGGATTGGTGGCGGACTGGTGACGGATTGGTGGCGGACTGGTGACGGATTGGTGGCGGACTGGTGATGGATTGGTGGCGGACTGATGGCGGACTGGTGGCGGACTGGTGATGGACTGGTGGCGGACTGGTGATGGACTGGTGGCGGACTGGTGGCGGACTGGTGACGGACTGGTGGCGGACTGGTGACGGTCTGGTGGCGGACTGGTGACGGACTGGTGGCGGACTGGTGATGGATTGGTGGCGGACTGGTGATGGACTGGTGGCGGACTGGTGATGGATTGGTGGCGGACTGGTGATGGATTGGTGGCGGACTGGTGATGGATTGGTGGCGGACTGGTGGTGGATTGGTGGCGGACTGGTGATGGATTGGTGGCGGACTGATGGGGACGGACTGATGGACTGGTGATGGACTGGTGATGGATTGGGGGACTGGTGATGGATTGGTGGCGGACTGATGGCGGACTGGTGGCAGATTGGTGACGGACTGGTGGCGGACTGGTGATGGACTGATGGCGGACTGGTGATGGATTGGTGGCGGACTGATGGCGGACTGGTGATGGATTGGTGGCGGACTGGTGACGGATTGGTGGCGGACTGGTGACGGATTGGTGGTGGACTGGTGGCGGATTGGTGGCGGACTGGTGGCGGACTGTTGGCAGAGTGGTGACGGATTGGTGACGGATTGGTGACGGATTGGTGGCGGATTGGTGGCGGACTTGGTGGCGGACTGGTGATGGATTGGTGGCGGACTGGTGATGGACTGGTGGCGGACTGGCGGCGGACTGGTGATGGATTGGTGGCGGACTGGTGGTGGATTGGTGGCGGACTGGTGGCGGACTGGTGATGGACTGGTGGCGGACTGGTGATGGACTGGTGGCGGACTGGTGATGGATTGGTGGCGGACTGGTGATGGATTGGTGGCGGACTGGTGATGGACTGGTGGCGGACTGGTGATGGATTGGTGGCGGACTGGTGGTGGATTGGTGGCGGACTGGTGATGGATTGGTGGCGGACTGATGGCTGACTGGTGATGGATTGGTGGCGGACTGGTGGCGGACTGTTGGCAGAGTGGTGACGGATTGGTGGCAGAGTGGTGACGGATTGGTGGCAGAGTGGTGACGGATTGGTGACGGACTGGTGGCGGACTGGTGGCGGACTGGTGATGGATTGGTGGCGGACTGGTGGCGGATTGGTGGCGGATTGGTGACGGATGGTGATGGATTGGTGGTGGACTGGTGGCGGACTGTTGGCAGAGTGGTGACTGATTGCTGGCGGACTGTTGGCAGACTGGTGACGGACTGGTGATGGATTGGTGGCGGACTGGTGGCGGATTGGTGGCGGACTGGTGGTGGACTGGTGATGGATTGGTGGTGGATTGGTGACGGACTGGTGATGGATTGGTGGTGGACTGGTGGCGGATTGTGGCGGACTGGTGGTGGACTGGTGATGGATTGGTGGTGGATTGGTGACGGACTGGTGATGGATTGGTGGTGGACTGGTGGCGGATTGGTGGCAGACTGTTGGCAGACTGGTGACGGACTGGTAGTGGACTGGTGATGGATTGGTGGTGGACAGGTCATCCGGTGTAGTTCTCCGGGGTGGTGGACGTATTCTGAGCACACCCATGGTATTGTCCTCACTCTGCATCCTTTGTCTTGTGTAGATCTTCCTCAGACTGTGATCCCGCGCAGCGCAAGAGGAGGAGCCGATCACCCGCAGACCATCGCCGACATCCAGGTAGGTGCTCCGTCACAGGCTCTGCTCACAGATGTTCCACTGTAGAAGGTTTTGTGGATTTAAATTTTTTTTTTTATTCACTGTGATCCACTTTTATGAGGAAATGGTGGAGGTAGGTACCTCTGGATCCTGTACCTCCTGACCTCATATTGCCAGACCCTGTACCTCCAGTCCTTGTTCCTCTGGATCCTGTACCTCCACAACTTGTACTGCACTAGAGGAGCCGTTACACCTGTGCAAGGCTGAAGGGGAGGAGCCGGTACACCTGTGTAAGGCTGAAGGGGAGGAGCCGGTACACCTGTGCAAGACTGGAGAGGAGGAGCCGGTACACCTGTGCAAGGCTGAAGGGGAGGAGCCGGTACACCTGTGCAAGACTGGAGAGGAGGAGCCGGTACACCTGTGCAAGGCTGAAGAGGAGGAGCCGGTACACCTGTGCAAGGCTGAAGGGGAGGAGCCGGTACACCTGTGCAAGGCTGAAGGGGAGGAGTCGGTACACCTGTGCAAGACTGGAGAGGAGGAGCCGGTACACCTGTGTAAGGCTGAAGGGGAGGAGCTGGTATACCTGTGCAAGACTGAAGGGGAGGAGCCAGTACACCTGTGCAAGACTGAAGGGGAGGAGCTGTTACACCTGTGCAAGACTGAAGGGATGAAGCCGGTACACCTGTGCAAGACTGAGGGGAGGGGCCCTGTACACCTGTGCAAGATTGAAGGAGGAGGAGCCGGTACACCTGTGCAAGACTGGAGGGGAAGTTGGAGGGAGGATTTTAGGGGTTCAATTCTGGTGGCAGAAGGGGGGGAGGTGTCAGGTCTTCCCATTCGCTGGCAGGATCCTGTGTGATAAAATGGTCCATCATTCTGTTCCTCTCACATTGTCCGTCCGTCTGTCCCTCGTTCTGTATTCGGATCACACGTTGTCCTTCCTTTCTTCCCTCCAGGAGTGGCTTCATCAACATGCCGACCAGTTCACCGGAGATCCAAACAGCCTTCAGGTTATGAACGACCTTCTGGATAAAGTTGCCAAGGAAAACCAAGAGATCCGCCACATTCAGGCCAAACTCCAGGTACTTCCAGCCGTCTGTTGGAGACCCCCAAGGTAGTGGTGTGAACGTGATTGGCTGACTGCAGAGAATGGACTCCTGTTATGGCGTTATAATGTGGTTTGGTTCATGGGTTGTATATACAGTTGGGGTGAAAAGTCCCCCCCCCCCCCCACCTTGGAGAATCGGGAATATACAGGATGGACTAGGAGTGAACCGGCAAAACCCATTTCTTGCATTTCTTATGGGATTCATATTCTGTATCTGGAGGTGATCCCAGAATGGGCCAATCAGAAAACAGAACACGGCAACAAGTCAACCAATGATATTCCCTCTGCTCAAAAGTCTGCACCCCCTCTTCATCCCTTGTGTCGCCCCCTTCAGCATCAATGACAGCGTGCCGTCTTCTGTAATAGTTGTCTATGAGGCCCCCGAATTCCTGCCGGTGGTAGAGCCGCCCATTCATCTCGGCAAAATGCCTCCAGGTCATGCAAAGTCTTTTGGTGGTCTTCCATGAACCCCACACCTGAGATCCCCCCAAAAGCCTTTGGTGGTCTTCCATGATTCCCACACCTGAGATTCCCCCCCAGAGCGGCTCAATGATATGAAGGTCAGGAGACTGTGATGGCCACTCCGGAACCTTCACCTTTTTCTGCTGGAACCACTGGAGGGTCAGCTTGGCCTTGTGCTGAGGCTCATTGTCCTGCTGGAAGGTCCAAAAGCGTCCCATGCATAGCTTTCCTGCAAATTGTCTGCCAGTATTTTCTGATATCACGCTGCATTCCTCTTGTCATCAATTTTCACAAGATTCCCCATGCCTTTAGAGCTCACGCACAACCAAAACACCAGTGAGCCGCCACCATGCTTCACAGTGGGGATTGTGTTCTTGTCTCTATAGTTCTTGTTGACCCCTCTCCAAACATATCGCTCAAGGTTGCGACCATAAAGCTCTATCTTGGTCTCGTCACTCCAGAGTACAGTGTGCCAGAAGCTGTGAGACGTGTCAACGTGTTGTTGGGCACCCACCCCCCAAGATATCAGTGAGCCACCACCATGCTTCACAGTGGGGATGGTGTTCTTGTCTCTATAGGCCTTGTTGACTCCTCTCCAAACATAGCGCTCATGGTTGCTTCCATAAAGCTCTATCTTGGTCTCGTCACTCTAGAGTACAGTGTGCCAGAAGCTGTGAGACGTGTCAAGGTGTTGTCGGCCATATTGTAGCCAGGCTTTCTTGTGGCATTAAATATAAAAAGGGGGGTGCAGCGCTACATATCTTAGCAAAATGATAAATCAAACACAGATAATAAACAATAAAACACTGACTATGTGTTAATAAGGCCACTGAATGGTGGCTATGAAGTGAGGGAAGTGAAACAGTCCAATGGAGGAGTGCTCTTAAGATCCAGGATGATCCTCAGACGTCCAATATTAGGAACCGTCAGGTGATAAAAAATGTAAAGACTGCGCACTCACCAGATACGCAATCTTTATGCGCATTTGTGTATAATATCACCGGACCTCCTGTGTCATCATCCTGGTCTGGTCAGATCTGGTCAGCATATCCTCCCTTGCCTGGTACCCGGATAGATGCAGCTATTCCATGGATCTGGCTGGCTCCCACCAGAACTCAAATAAACAGAAAAGGCCACATAGTGTGATATCCTCAGGTATCTTTATTGTAGGCAAAGGATAGCAGGAAAACCAACATGTAAAATATTACTGACCCAGATGCAAATCAAAGATGGCCGCCGGGGCCCCTCGTGGTGCCGGCGGTGAAGCGTCCAACCTGCTGTAGCTCTCCCTGACGCGTTTCGAGCGAAGGCTCGTACTCATAGGGGTGCAGCTTACAGTGGTGGACGCAAATGACAAATTTAAATACGAGCGATGGCGCATGCGCAGTACGCCGTGCGCCATCTTTCCTATGCTGGATGTCCGCGCGACGGGCGCCATTTTATTGTAGCCCAACCCGATGGCGCATGCGCAAACGCCCTGTCGTCGGGTACGCAGAGACAACCAGCAGAAACGAATGCTATGAGCACCAGGGATGACTCAATCATATGCTATAAGCGCCAGAGATGATCCAATCAATAATTTGACGCTATAGATCACCTATGTGGAAACCAACCAAGATAATATAATTATGGGCAAGAACAAAGATGGATCTTAATAAACAGATCCAAATTCATGTTATATAGCCCGTGTTTATCACAGCAACAGTAATGCAAATATATAGATACTCCGTATGAAAAACTATATTCACATAAAATGAATAAAAAAATTATTAAGTTAAAAAATTATATTCATGTGAGAACCTGGTGGTCATACATATGTAAACGTTGGCAAAAAAGTCTGCCAAACATAAGTACCCATATATATAAAGTTATACCTGAATACTAAAAAGCCAAAAATACATAAATCCACAGTATATATAATCAATACAAATATAAAATAATACATACATCTGTAGACCCATCGGTCATTAGTGCATGTAGAAAGTTAGAATAATAAAACATTAAATATTAAAATTACCTGAATAACAAAAATATATCATCAGAATAACAGAGGAATAAAATCATATAATATTAAGTGAAATACACACTAGGATCAATGGCAAGAATGCATATGTGTATATAGAAAGATATCTAGATAGTCCCAATCAGCTGTTATCAATGAAACTATTGATATCCAGTTCTATATTAAGTCCATTGGGGCGCATACAGTCCATCTGGAATATCCATTTCGTTTCCATTTGCGAGACTGCTCTTTTCTTATTTATGCCTCTCCAATGGGCTCGCACTGTGTCAATACCCACAAACTGCAATGAAGATGGGTCCCTGTTATGATGGGTCCTGTAGTGTAATGATAAAGAATGGTCTTTAAAGCCCTTTTTTATGTTGTTAACGTGTTCACGAAGTCTATCCCTAAGTCTTCTAATGGTGCGCCCAACGTACTGTTTTTTGCACGGACATTGCAAAAGATACACGACATTTTTGCTGTAGCATGATATAAAGTTTTTAATTTTAAATGTCCTGCCAGTACTAGTTGATAGAAAATTGTCGACCCTCTTTTTCCTTTTGCCATTACAGGTGCATATAATACACTTGTTGCATGGGAAGAAACCAGTAATATTTTTCAAAAAGGAAGTGTTCCTAGGAGGGTCGATAAAAAGGAACAGATCGGAACGGATACATTCCCATTAGCAGTTGCCATCATCCACTATGGCTTTCAAACATACCGAAAGGGCAATTCTTAAGGCTGAGAAGAAACTGTACCTCTGTTGATACCTTTTTGTCACAGGCATCTATATTAAAAATCAGATTCTTGGAAAAGGGATACGATGAGATATGTCTTACTCGCACTATGCATGAGATAGGAAATATGGATAGAGATTCTCTGCTTGCTAACAATACCTCACAAAAGTCACAAAAAATCTGCCCCTTTGTTACTACTTTTTCTAGACAATACAGGACGATTTCTAGAATCATTAATCAGAACTGGAAGATTTTGAAGGCGGATCCAGTGCTAACTAATATTCTTCCTGACAGACCTGAGATTACTTATAGAAGAGCACAATCTCTGAGAAATCTTATAGCCCCAAATATTATCGACCCTCCTAGGAACACTTCCTTTTTGAAAAATATTACTGGTTTCTTCCCATGCAACAAGTGTATTATATGCACCTGTAATGGCAAAAGGAAAAAGAGGGTCGACAATTTTCTATCAACTAGTACTGGCAGGACATTTAAAATTAAAAACTTTATATCATGCTACAGCAAAAATGTCGTGTATCTTTTGCAATGTCCGTGCAAAAAACAGTACGTTGGGCGCACCATTAGAAGACTTAGGGATAGACTTCGTGAACACGTTAACAACATAAAAAAGGGCTTTAAAGACCATTCTTTATCATTACACTACAGGACCCATCATAACAGGGACCCATCTTCATTGCAGTTTGTGGGTATTGACACAGTGCGAGCCCATTGGAGAGGCATAAATAAGAAAAGAGCAGTCTCGCAAATGGAAACGAAATGGATATTCCAGATGGACTGTATGCGCCCCAATGGACTTAATATAGAACTGGATATCAATAGTTTCATTGATAACAGCTGATTGGGACTATCTAGATATCTTTCTATATACACATATGCATTCTTGCCATTGATCCTAGTGTGTATTTCACTTAATATTATATGATTTTATTCCTCTGTTATTCTGATGATATATTTTTGTTATTCAGGTAATTTTAATATTTAATGTTTTATTATTCTAACTTTCTACATGCACTAATGACCGATGGGTCTACAGATGTATGTATTATTTTATATTTGTATTGATTATATATACTGTGGATTTATGTATTTTTGGCTTTTTAGTATTCAGGTATAACTTTATATATATGGGTACTTATGTTTGGCAGACTTTTTTGCCAACGTTTACATATGTATGACCACCAGGTTCTCACATGAATATAATTTTTTAACTTAATAATTTTTTAATTCATTTTATGTGAATATAGTTTTTCATACGGAGTATCTATATATTTGCATTACTGTTGCTGTGATAAACACGGGCTATATAACATGAATTTGGATCTGTTTATTAAGATCCATCTTTGTTCTTGCCCATAATTATATTATCTTGGTTGGTTTCCACATAGGTGATCTATAGCGTCAAATTATTGATTGGATCATCTCTGGCGCTTATAGCATATGATTGAGTCATCCCTGGTGCTCATAGCATTCGTTTCTGCTGGTTGTCTCTGCGTACCCGACGACAGGGCGTTTGCGCATGCGCCATCGGGTTGGGCTACAATAAAATGGCGCCCGTCGCGCGGACATCCAGCATAGGAAAGATGGCGCACGGCGTACTGCGCATGCGCCATCGCTCGTATTTAAATTTGTCATTTGCGTCCACCACTGTAAGCTGCACCCCCTATGAGTACGAGCCTTCGCTCGAAACGCGTCAGGGAGAGCTACAGCAGGTTGGACGCTTCACCGCCGGCACCACGAGGGGCCCCGGCGGCCATCTTTGATTTGCATCTGGGTCAGTAATATTTTACATGTTGGTTTTCCTGCTATCCTTTGCCTACAATAAAGATACCTGAGGATATCACACTATGTGGCCTTTTCTGTTTATTTGAGTTCTGGTGGGAGCCAGCCAGATCCATGGAATAGCTGCATCTATCCGGGTACCAGGCAAGGGAGGATATGCTGACCAGATTTGACCAGACCAGGATGATGACACAGGAGGTCCGGTGATATTATACACAAATGCGCATAAAGATTGCGTATCTGGTGAGTGCGCAGTCTTTACATTTTTTATCACCTGACGGTTCCTAATATTGGACGTCTGAGGATCATCCTGGATCTTAAGAGCACTCCTCCATTGGACTGTTTCACTTCCCTCACTTCATAGCCACCATTTCAGTGGCCTTATTAACACATAGTCACTGTTTTATTGTTTATTATCTGTGTTTGATTTATCTTTTGCTAAGATATGTAGCGCTGCACCCCCCTTTTTATATTTATGTCCCTGAAGGTTTGATACGGTGCCTTTTTGGTGTACAGCCGCTGCTCATTATATCTATCTCAAGCGCTCGCTTATTTTCTGTTTTTCTTGATTTCTTGTGGCATTGGCGCGCAGTAAAGGCTGTTTTCTGGCAACTCCACCAGGCAGCTCATATTTGTTCAAGTATTATCGTATTGTTCTCCTTGGAACAACCACACCGTCTTTTTCCAGAGCAGCCTGAGCTTACCTGTGGGTTTTCTCCTGAGGTTACCTGTGGGGGGTTTTCTTTGTATCCCGAAGAATTCCTCTGTCAGTTGTGGCTGCCATCTTTCTTGGTCTACTGACCTCGGCTTGGTATCAGAAGAGATCCCCGAATTTTCCACTTCTTAATAGGTGACTGAACAGCACTGACTGGCCTAGTCAAGGCTTTGGATAGCTTTTTAGAACCTTTTCCCTCTTTATAAAGTTCCATTACCTTGTTACGCAGGTCTTTTGACAGTTCTTTTCTGCTCCCCATGGCTCAGTATCCAGCCTGCTCAGTGCCTCCACGTGAGAGAGCGGACAAACTCACTATTTATACACGGACGCTTAATAGCAATTTAAAAAGCCACAGATGTGGAAAATTGAGCTTTTAGTTGTCATGGTAACCTGTTTGCGTCACCTTGTGCGTCTGTACCAAGGACGAAACATTCTAGGGGGTGGAGACTTCTGATCCAGGGTGGGAGACTTCTGATCCGGGCCATTTGGGGGATTTCATTAGGATTTAAAAAGGAGCCAAACAACGATGTGATAATAAATGGCGTCACATGATCACTATCCTTCCATAAAAGACAAGTTTTTGGCAGATTTCCATCACCAATCCCGAAATTTCACCATTTCTGCCGGGGGAGGCAAACTTTTGAGCGTAACTGTATATGTTGGCGAGTCAGCAGGACACATCAACTCCCAAATTTTTTTATGACACCAAATTATGAAGGTTCCATCAAGCGGTTAACATATATCTATTTATTACAGGCTCAGAAAGAGGAACTGGAAGCGTTGGTCCAAGGCGGAGACGGTGTCACTCCAGAGTCACAACCATTTGGAGTGACGGAAGAGAACGTCCGGCTGAAAGAGGCTCTTCTCCGAGAAGAGACCGGGCATCTCTTCGCCAAGGAGGAACTGCAGAACCTACAGGAGAAACTGGAGACCTTGGAGACCGATAGTGCAGATAAGGAGGTCTTGACCTCGGAGAACACCCAGCTGAAAGCAGACCTGGAGGCCACCAAGAGCCAGATCGAGGGTTTCCTGACTCAGAAGGAGACTCTGGTGGCGGAATCTCAGATGCTTCGTCAGGAGTTGGACAAACAGCGGTCGTTGGTGGTCTCCCTCAGACAGGATCTAGAGGGCATGACGTCCAATACCACCGAGGGGCAGGATGCGAAAGGTTTAAAAGGAAGGATCTCGGAGATGAGCAGCAGGTTGGCGATGGAGGCTCAGAGGTCTGAGACGTGGGACAAGAAGTATGTGGAGCATGCGCAGAAAAGGAAAGAGCTGGTTGGGGAAGAGAAGAAACCCCATGGTCGTAAAGAGTGGAAGAAAGGAGATAAGTGGGGCAAAGGTTCAGATTCGGCCACACCGGGGGAACAGTTCAGGAAGCCTCACTTCAAACATGGCAAAGAACATGGAAAAAGATGGGTGGAAGATGGACAGCCGGAATCCCAGCATGAAGAATGGAAGGGTAAGAAGTATGACGATAAGCAGCACTGGAGGGAAAAGAGGCATCGGCACTGGGAGGGAGAGAAAAAAACTGGGACTGAAGATAAAGAGCGTCATCCACACGAGTCTGACAACTGGAAGGACAAAGGCAAAGAGAACCGTTGGAAAGACTCTTCTCACCATCCTGACGGCGAGAGAACCTGGAAGGACAAACACTCTCGCCATCACCACGGAGAAGCAGCAGATGGTTTCCATCCTCGCAAGGGCCAGAGAGAATTTTCAGAAGCCCACAAACATGGAGAAGACAAGAGACGGGAACACGGAGACAAAGCCCATGGCAAAGACCACCGACACCACGACCATAACAAGTTCTGGAAGAAGCTCTCCGACCATCAGTACCGAGTTCCAGAAGGATGCTCCGGCCTGGAAGACTGCTGCGCCCGTAAAGATGGCGTTGACCTTTTCAACGTAGACCTGAAACCAGTTCAGAGGAAGCAGTTCGAAGAGATCCTTCAGAACTACCTGACCAAGACGGATCTCTCCAAACACCTGCCCGGGCTGATACCTCTCCTTGATGGCTTCTTCGAGGGGCCTTATTTCACCCATCATAAAATCCGCTTTAAGGACTTTGTGGATGATGTGGAAGACTTCCTGGAAGACTTGGCAAGGAAGGAGACCGGGAATGACGATCTCGTGGATGATTTTGAGAGATTTGTCTACACCAACTTCTTTGGAGACGCCGCCATTAAGAAAAGGTGAGTGGCTCCTTATTGGACGTTGGTGCGTGTCCTCATACTCCGCCCTTCCTTGGTTCCAGTGAGCTGTAGATGCATTTATACATGTAGAAGGCTTCCAAGCTCCTTCTTTGACACGACCTTCGGGGTTTACGTCAATCCAGTTTCCTGGAGTCATTTGTCTTCCAGATTATTGATAGGCAGATAGTCCCCAGTCAATAAGGTCCCTATTGAAATGTTGGCTTGGTAGGGTTTTTTTTGGGTAACCTTGGTTATCCAATCACCTAACGCAACCCATCATGCTATCACGCTTGGAAGAGCCAAGCATCAATGGTGTCAATGGTAGGAATAGTGATCCATCATTTGTATCAGTGGGAGGAATAGTGATCCATCATTTGTATCAGTGGGAGGAATAGTGCCCCATCATTGGTGTCAGTGGGAGGAATAGTGCCCCATCATTGGTATCAGTGGGAGGAATAGTGCCCCATCATTGGTGTCAGTGGGAGGAATAGTGCCCCATCATTGGTGTCAATGGGAGGAATAGTGCCCCATCATTGGTATCAGTGGGAGAAAATAGTGCCCCATCATTGGTGTCAGTGGGAGGAATAGTGCCCCATCATTGGTGTCAGTGGGAGGAATAGTGCCCCATCATTGGTGTCAGTGGGAGGAATAGTGCCCCATCATTGGTGTCAATGGGAGGAATAGTGCCCCATCATTGGTATCAGTGGGAGGAATAGTGTCCCATCATTGGTGTCAGTGGGAGGAATAGTGCCCCATCATTGGTGTCAATGGGAGGAATAGTGCCCCATCATTGGTGTCAGTGGGAGGAATAGTGCCCCATCATTGGTGTCAATGGGAGGAATAATGCCCCATCATTGGTGTCAGTGGGAGGAATAGTGCCCCATCATTGGTGTCAGTGGGAGGAATAGTGCCTTATCATTGGTGTGGGGGAGGAATAGTGATCCATCATTGTATCAGTGGGAGGAATAGTGCCCCATCATTGGTGTCAGTGGGAGGAATAGTGCCCTATCATTGGTGTCAGTGGGAGGAATAGTGCCCCATCATTGGTGTCAGTGGGAGGAATAGTGTCCCATCATTGGTGTCAGTGGAAGGAATAGTGCCCCATCATTGGTGTCAGTGGGAGGAATAGTGCCCCATCATTGGTGTCAGTGGGAGGAATAGTGCCCCATCATTGGTGTCAGTGGGAGGAATAGTGCCCATCATTGGTGTCAGTGGGAGGAATAGTGCCCCATCATTGGTGCCAGTGGGAGGAATAGTGCCCCATCATTGGTGTCAGTGGGAGGAATAGTGCCCCATCATTGGTGTCAGTGGGAGGAATGGAGCCCCATCATTGGTGTCAGTGGGAGGAATAGTAGTATCATCATTGGTGTCAGTGGGAGGAATGGAGCCCCATCATTGGTGTAGTGGGAGGAATAGTGCCCATCATTGGTGTCAGTGGGAGGAATAGTGCCCCATCATTGGTGTCAGTGGGAGGAAAGGTGCCCAATCATTGGTGTCAGTGGGAGGAATACTGTCTCATCATTGGTCAGTAGGAGAAATAGTGCCCATCATTGGTGTCAGTGGGAGGAAATAGTGCCCCATCATTGGTGTCAGTGGGAGGAATAGTGCCCCTTCAGTGGTGTCAGTGGGAGGAATAGTGCCCCATCATTGGTGTCAGTGGGAGGAATAGTGCCCCATCATTGGTGTCAGAGGGAGGAATAGTGCCCCATCATTGGTGTCAGTGGGAGGAATAGTGCCCCATCATTGGTGTCAGAGGGAGGAAAGGTGCCCAATCATTGGTGTCAGTGGGAGGAATACTGTCCCATCATTGGTGTCAGTGGAGAAATAGTGCCCCATCATTGGTGTCAGTGGGAGGAATAGTGCCCCATCATTGGTGTCAGTGGGAGGAATAGTGCCCCATCATTGGTCAGTGGTGTCAGTGGGTCAGGAAATAGTGCCCCATCATTGGTGTCAGTGGGAGGAATAGTGCCCCATCATTGGTGTCATTGGGAGGAAAAGCGCCCCCATCATTGGTGTCAGTGGGAGGAATAGTGCCCCATCATTGGTGTCAGTGGGAGGAATAGTGCCCCATCATTGGTGTCAGTGGGAGGAATAGGTGCCCCATCATTGGTGTCAGTGGGGGAATAGTGCCCCATCATTGGTGTCAATGGGAGGAATAGTGCCCCATCATTGGTGTCAGTGGGAGGAATGGTGCCCCATCATGGTGTCAGTGGGAGGAATAGTGCCCCATCATTGGTGTCATGGGGAGGAATGGTGCCCCATCATTGGTGTCAGTGGGAGGAATAGTGCCCCATCATTGGTGTCAGTGGGAGGAATAGTGCCCCATCATTGGTGTCAGTGGGGGAATAGTGCCCCATCATTGGTGTCAGTGGGAGGAATAGTGCCCCATCATTGGTGTCAGTGGGAGGAATAGTGTTCCATCATTGTTGTCAGTAGGAGGAAGAGCGCCCCGTCATTGGTGTCAGTGGGAGGAATAGTGCCCCATCATTGGTGTCAGTGGGAGGAATAGTGCCCCATCATTGGTGTCAGTGGGAGGAATAGTGTTCCATCATTGGTGTCAGTAGGAGGAAGAGCGCCCCGTCATTGGTGTCATTGGGAGGAAAAGCGCCCCGTCATTGGTGTCAGTGGGAGGAATAGTGCCCCTTCATTGGTGTCAGTGGGAGAATAGTGTCCATCATTGGTGTCAGTAGGAGAAATAGTGCCCCAGTCATTGGTGTCAATGGGAGGAATAGTGCCACATCATTGGTGTCAGTAGGAGGAATAGTGCCAACATCATTGGTGTCAGTAGGGAGGAATAGTGCCCCATCATTGGTGTCAGTGGGAGGAATAGTGGGAGGAGTGGGAGGAATAGTGCCCCATCATTGGTGTCAGTGGGAGGAATAGTGCCCCATCATTGGTATCATTGGGAGGAATAGTGCCCCATCATTGGTGTCAGTGGGAGGAATAGTGCCCCATCATTGGTGTCAGTGGGAGGAATAGTGTTCCATCATTGGTGTCAGTGGGAGGAATAGTGCCCCATCATTGGTGTCAGTGGAAGGAATAATGCCCCATCATTGGTGTCAGTAGGAGAAATAGTGCCCCAGCATGGTGTCAGTGGTAGGAATAGCGCCCCATCATTGGTATCAGTGGGAGGAATGGTGCCCCATCATGGTGTCAGTGGGAGGAATAGCACCCCGTCATTGGTGTCAGTGGGAGGAATAGTGCCCCATCATTGGTGTCAGTGGGAGGAATGGCGCCCCGTCATTGGTGTCAGTGGGAGGAATAGCGCCCCGTCATTGGTGTCAGTGGGAGGAATGGCGCCCCGTCATTGGTGTCAGTGTGGGAGGAAGTAGGAATGCCCCCATCATTGGTGTCAGTGGGAGGAATAGCGCCCCATCATTGGTGTCAGTGGGAGGAATAGCGCCCCGTCATTACTACACACACAATCTACTGTTCCCCAACCCCAGGGCTACATTAGACCAGTGACACCTTCCACCACGTAGCTGAATGGTTCCAGCTCCAGGATTTCAGAACCAGTCCGTGTTGTGGGAGTTCACAGCTTCCATCCAGGTGTCATTCATGAATTTACGGCAGTTCTTTGTCTGTCTGACTGGTAGCGCTTCCTCTAATAACATGTGCAGGTCTCCATGATTTCCTTTTCTAGATCCGAAAAGAAACACGGCCACCGAAAGAGCTACAAATCCGACCGCCAATACAATCCCGGAAAACTGGAGGAGACTTCCGAATCTGACCTCAACCAAACGAACCCGAAACCTACAAACAAGAAAGACTTCAGAGTAGATGCAGACAATCCGAACTACAAACCCTACAAGGAGAAATCCAAGAAGGATGAGGGCCACAAGCACGACTCTCCAAGCCACGATTATGACGAAGACAAAAATGACCACGGATGGAAGAACCATAAAAAGTACGACAAAGATTCAGAATCCCATCAGAAGAGCCATCATGAGACATCAGGACGTTACTTCAACCAGACCAGAGATTTCCTTCATGAGCAGAAAGGGTGGCATTATACGAAACCCAACTACGGCTACAGATCCTACCATGAAGACCACCATGATGGAAGAGAGGATGGTGGACGTTTCATAGAGCGACCCCAGGAAAACAAACTCCGACAGGGACACGACTATCACAAGAAGAGGCTTGATACCGAAGACCGTCAACAACCACATGGAAAGGAGAGACGTGAACCCAAGCCCAAATACAACCCATCTTTTGTGGAGCTCGGTGAAGACACGGAACAACCATTTCACCATGAACATAAGCCGTACTGGAAAAAACGGGAGAAAGACGCCATTAATGTGTATTATCGGTCGTCTCAGCCACAGCTTGACAGACATGAGCGCCATCACTACGAATCCAAGCCACAGAAAGAGGGTGAGGGTCACCACCATGAACACAAGCCACAGAAGGAGGGTGAGGGTCACCACCATGAACACAAGCCACAGAAGGAGGGTGAGGGTCACCACCATGAACACAAGCCACAGAAGGAGGGTGAGGGACACCACCATGAACACAAGCCTTGGAAGCAGGGTGAGGGGTCACCACCATGAACACAAGCCCTTGGAAGCAAGGTGGGGGTCACCACCATGAACACAAGCCTTGCACAGAAAGGGGTGAGGGGGTCACACCATACCATGAATGCAGGGTGGGGGTCACAAGCCACAGCCACAGAAGAGGGTGAAGGTCACCACCATGAACACAAGCCATGGAAGCAGGGTGAGGGTCACCACCATGAACACAAACCATGGAAGCAGGGTGAGGGTCCCCACCATGAACACAAACCATGGAAGCAGGGTGAGGGTCACCACCATGAACACAAGCCTTGCAAGCAGGGTGAGGGTCACCACCATGAACACAAGCCTTGCAAGCAAGGTGAGGGTCACCACCATGAACACAAGCCTTGGAAGCAGGGTGAGGGTCACCACCATGAACACAAGCCTTGGAAGCAGGGTGAGGGTCACCACCATGAACACAAGCCTTGGAAGGATGGTGAAAGTCACCACAATGAGCACACACCATCGAAACAAGGTAAGGGTGACCACCATAAACACAAGTCATGGAAACAAGGTGAGGGTGACCACCAGGAACACAAGCCATGGAAGAAAGGAAGGGTGACCAGCATGAAGAGAAACCTTGGAAGCAGCAGAGGGTGACCACCATGAACAGAAACCTTGGAAGCAAGCAAGGAGAGGGTGACCACCATGAACAGAAACCTTGGAAGGAAGGTGAGGGTGGCCACCATAAGCAGAAACCACGGAAGGAAGGTGAGGGTGGCCACCATAAGCAGAAACCATGGAAGGAGGGTGACCACCATGAACAGAAACCTTGGAAGGAAGGTGAGGGTGGCCACCATAAGCAGAAACCACAGAAGGAAGGTGAGGGTGACCACCATAAACACAAGTCATTTAAACAAGGTGAGGGTGACCACCATGAACACAAACCATGGAAGAAAGGTGATGATGACCATCATAAACAAAAGTCATGGAAGGATGGTGAAGGCCACCGCCACGAACATAAGCCATGGAAGGAGGGTGACCGCAGGCATGATGACCACAGACAGAAACCCTACAAGGGCAAGTCCGATGACCACAAACATCGATCCCACTATAACAAGTATGATGACAATGATCATGAACACAGATCCAACCACAACGACCATGGAAAAAATGAGAACGAATAGTTCTCATTACTGGATCCATGAAGATACTGGAAACCAGTATGAAGTCTTCTACACGCATGTCCATCACCATGACCACAAGCAGCACTGAGCTTCACACTGTTTTTGCAACGACCCACCTCCCTCCTCGTAAACCTCTTCATGGACTCATGGTCCATGTCCAGTCAATGGCCGCCCAAATGGTCATCTTGTAAGCCTTGAGATGTCTACCAAATTCCATGTCAACAAAAGAAAGACCTAAACCTTCCCGTGCCTTGACCTGCAACAAGCGGCAAATCTTGGTAAAAGGTCCCGTTCCCCAAGATTGGTTGTATGTGTGATACCTTAGAACACGCGTGTTGTTTACAGGCCATCAGGCTACTGCTGGTGGTTGGAGAAGATAGGACGTTGGGTCTACCACTCATACATGTGTTTTGCACTGTCCCTCACCTCTGCTCATGAACGTTTCACTGGTCACCCGGCCATCACATGTTACATGGTTGGTGATTGGACTGCTCTTTGTGAAGCTCCTCCCCTTGTCTCATGAGAACCGTCCCCGGTCCCCTTTTGTTGGACAGTCTCTTAGCCTTAACCACTAGTGCCTTAACCTGCAGTCAGGGGACATCGGAACCAGCCGATACAAAAGGTTCCGGGAGACCTCCGAAGCAGCCGATACAAAAGGTTCCGGGAGACCTCCGAACCAGCCGATACAAAAGGTTCCGGGAGACCTCCGAACCAGCCGATACAAAAGGTTCCGGGAGACCTCCGAACCAGCCGATACAAAAGGTTCCCTCCGAAGACCAAAAGGTCCGAGACCTCCGAAGAAACCGATACAGAAGGTTCCGGGACTTGGCGTAGATTCGTGTTCTAATTCCGAAACTCCGGATTCTCGATGCTGGAAATTCGTCTAAATAATTCCGTCATTTTTCTTCGTTTTATTAACATTTTCTGGAGGCCAAACGGGAGACATCTGAGAGTGGTGGCCGGCCGTGGTCTGGAGTCACACCCAGTGCCGGGACAAGGTCATCCAGTGTCCAGGGCCAAGATGCCACCCCCCCCAAATGTATGGGCATTATGTGTCAAAGATTCCCCTCTCCTAGTACAAATCCCCCCACCACTGAAATCACAAACTCAGCACAAATCTGCCCCCGCCAGGGTGGGGGGCACCCTCTTAGCGCAAATCCTCTCCTTTCTAAATCCCCCCCCCCAGTACAAATATTGTACCCCTCAAATTTCCCCTCTGAGCATAAATCCTCTCCCCACCTCCAGATCCCTCCTCCTAGCACAAACCCCCCCCCCCTTCAAATCACTTCTCCTCCCCCCCCTCCTAGCACTAATCCCCCCCATCCCTCTCCCAGCGCATAACCCCCCCCGAGTAATAATCCCCCCCATCCCTCTCCCAGCACATATCCCCCCCCAGCACTAATCCCCCCCCATCCCCTCTCCAAGCACATGCCCCCCCCCAGCACTAATCCCCCCCCATCCCCTCCCCAGCACATGCCCCCCCCCATCCCTCTCCAAGCACATGCCCCCCCCAGCACTAATCCCCTCCATCCCTCTCCCAGCACATACCCCCCCCCCGACCTAATCCCCCCCCATCCCTCTCCCAGCACATATCCCCCCCCCATCCCTCTCCCAGCACATATCCCCCCCCCCCCCCATCCCCCCCATCCCTCTCCCAGCACATATCCCCCCCCCCATCCCTCTCCCAGCACATATCCCCCCCCCCCCCAGCACTAATCCCCCCCATCCCCTCTCCCAGCACTAATCCCCCCCCATCCCCCCCCCAGCAATAATCCCCCCCATCCCTCTCCCAGCACATATCCCCCCCATCCCCCCCCCCCACTAATCCCCCCATGCCCCCCCCCAGCACTAATCCCCCCATCCCTCTCCCAGCACATATCCCCCCCCCAGCACTAATCCCCCCCATCCCTCTCCAGCACATATCCCCCCCCCCCAGCACTAATCCCCCCCATCCCTCTCCCAGCACATATCCCCCCCCCCCAGCACTAATCCCCCCATCCCTCTCCCAGCACATATCCCCCCCCAGCACTAATCCCCCCATCCCTCTCCCAGCACATATCCCCCCCCCAACACAGCACTAACCCCCCCATCCCTCTCCCAGCACATACCCCCCCCCCAGCACTAATCCCCCCCATCCCTCTCCCAGCACATATCCCCCCCCCCAACACAGCACTAATCCCCCCCCATCCCCCCTCCCAGCACATACCGCCCCCCCCAGCACTAATTCTCCCCATCCCTCTCCATGCAATAGCCCCCCACCTCACCCCCCCCCCATGTCCTGGCCCTGGCCACACCTATGCATCCCCCCCCCCCAATAGAAACGCACGGTGGTCTGCGCTGCGATGCGTTTCCGTTGATTTTATTAGAAAAAGCTTCAAACAAAAAAAGCAAAGCCGTGACTCCGGCCTTAAAGAAACTCCACTGTTGTTGGGAAATAAACCCCGCCCCTGTTTGTGTCCCCGTGTCCTCTACAGGTGAATGGGAGGAGCCTGAGGTCTGTGAATGGGAGGGGTCTGAGGTCTGTGAATGGTCTGAGGTCTGTGAATGGGAGGGGTCTGAGTTTTGTGAATGGGAGGATTCTTAGGTCGGTGAATGGGAGGGCCGGAGGCTGGTGAATGGGAGGGGTCTGAGTTTTGTGAATGGGAGGATTCTTAGGTTGGTAAATGGGAGGGCCGGAGGCTGGTGAATGGGAGGGTCTTGGGTTGGTGAATGGGAGGAGTCAGGTCGGTGAATGGGAGGGCCGGAGGCTGGTGAATGGGAGGGGTCTTAGGTTGGTGAATGGGAGGAGTCAGGTCGGTGAATGGGAGGGCCGGGGCTGGTGAATGGGAGGGGTCTGAGTTTTGTGGATGGGAGGATTCTTAGGTCGGTGAATGGGAGGGCCGGAGGCTGGTGAATGGGAGGGGTCTTGGGTTGGTGAATGGGAGGAGTCAGGTCGGTGAATGGGAGGGCGGAGGCTGGTGAATGGGAGGGGTCTGAGTTTTGTGGATGGGAGGGGTCTGAGGTTGGTGAATGGGAGGAGTCAGGTCAGTGAATGGGAGGGCCGGAGGCTGGTGAATGGGAGGGGTCTGAGTTTGGTGGATGGGAGGGGTCTGAGGTCGGTGAATGGGAGGAGTCTGAGGTCAATGAATAGGAGGGGTCTGAGGTCGGTGAATGTAGCATCCTATGGAGCCACCCTTGCATGCAGGGAGCGGAGATGTGCCTCCCTACACTGTGTGCAGCAATAGAACCACACAGCCCCATAGCCTAGGATGGCAAGACACTCCCCCCCCTCTCCTCCTCCCCCCCCCTCCTCCTCCCCCCTCCTCCTCCTCCTCTCTCCCCTCCCCTCCTCCCCCCCCCTCTCCTCCTCCTCCTCCCCCCCTCTCCCCTCCGATCCGATAGGCTGCACTGTCCGCTGTTAACCCTTTCCTGTGCAGACCGGAAGTTCAGGGAAGCAGCACCGAGAGAGCAGGAGATTTGAATTCTTAATTTCTTTTATCTCCTTTTTTTAATTTATATTTTTCCCCTCAGAAGTGGAGTTCCCCTTTAAGCGGCATCGCTCCCTCTCAGATTGTACGCTCCGGCCCCTCCCCCAGTTTTCGGAGTGCGTTGGGGGCGTGTCCTGCGCGGCGCTCTCCTGGCGTGTCGTATAACTCTGACATCCCTACAATCCGACTTCGAGGAAAAAAAACAAAAAAAAAGATACAAAATGTTTCTTTGCAAATTCCCGTTTGTAAATCGTTTTCACACATTGGAATCGGTCAGCGAGACGTGTGAATGTTGTGTGAACGCCCCTCAGTCCGCGGTCACGCCCACTTCCAGCAGAGTCGCACGATTTCAGAGTCGGCCGCCACTCTCTGGATCGAAAGTCGCATCAGAGCAGCACAGGCACCTTTCTGGCATCGCCGCGACTTTAAATCGCACCGATTTGAATGTGCACCGCTGAAAGGATGGGCCCCACGACGCGTCGCGCCACTTTGATGTCCAGACGTCCCGTGACAAGCCGCACGAGTGTGAATGGAGCGCACATGGGTCGAAATTCAACGATTTTTCTTTCGAAAATAATCGGCCGATTTTTGGTGGTTCAATGGCACCGGCCGATTTTCGTGGTTCCTCCCCTTTTCGGTCATCGGCCATGTTGGAAAATTTGCAAAAAACGACCGATTTTCGACTCAATGATGGTCAAATCGCACGATCGTTTTTTCGAAAAGAATATGCGAAAAGAAAATCGTTCGGAATTCGACCCATGTATGGTCTGCATTAGACTCTGTGCGCATCATGCGAGGCGTGACGGAACGCATTCCGGCGCGTTGGGCAACCGATTCATTTCAGTGGGCTGCCCTACGCAAGTCCCCGCCCCTTTTTGCAAAATCGCATTGTGCCGAAACGCATTTTTGGCCTGCGTCAGGGGGGTTCCATGCCGGCTGTGCGTCTGCGATGCGTTTCTGCGTTTTTGTGGCAAAGATGTGAACGCGGTCCTGCGGCCCCTTGAAATAAAATGGCCGCCCTATACCGATCGCATGCGCACGCCGCGAGAACGCGCACAAAATCGCACGCTTTGCAGACGCGCGCCGATAATTCCTAGCGGCGCCCCAAAACATGACGCGGATCGTTTTCTCTAAAAGGGTCCTTTGGAACATTTCCCGCACGTAGGGCAGCCCATTGAAAGGAACGCGGGGGCGCGACGCGCGGAAACGCACGCGCGCGCTCCGTCGGTGTGAACGCAGATTTTCCTTTTTGTAGTTCTTTACGTTTTCTGTATGGAAGCCTCACTGCCCACGGAGGCTCCGCCCTGAATGTATGGCGATGAGGAGGTCCCCTCGGCGGGGGGGGGAAAAGCGCAGTGGGCGGGGCCCCGGATCGGCTTCAATCAGCTCAGATTATTTGTGTGATGTTTTTGGAATGTTTTTTTTTTTTTAATGCCGCTAATCGTTTGGAGTGTTTTTTTATAGTTTTGCGCGCCGAGGCTGCTGGGCGGAGCTCGCTGGACGCTCGCAGTTCTGACGCGCCGTTTGACGTTGGACTAATAATGCACAAAATAGAAAAAAAATAAATAAAATTGTTTAAATAAAAAAAAATGTTTTGTTGTGGCGTCTTCAATGTTCATTGGTCGATGGGCGGGGCCGGCATTTATTGGTCAATGGGCGGGGGGGCCGGCATTTATTAATCGAGGGCGGGGCCGGCATTTATTAATCGATGGGCGGGGGCGGCATTTATTAATGATGGGCGGGGCCGGCATTTATCGGTTGATGGGTGGGGCCGGCATTTATTAATCAATGGGCGGGGCTGCCATTTATCGGTTGATGGGTGGGACCGGCATTTATTAATCGATGGGCGGGGGCCGGCATTTATTAATCAATGGGCGGGGCCGGCATTTATTAATCATGGGCGGGGCCGGCATTTATCGGTCGATGGGTGGGAATCGGCATTTATCGGTCGATGGGCAGGGCCAGCATTTATTATACAATGGGCGGAGCCGGCATTTAATCGATGGGTGGGGCCGGCATTTATTAATCGATGGGCGGGGCCGGCATTAATCGGTTGATGGGCAGGGCCGGCATTTATTAATCGATGGACGGAGCCGGCATTTAATCGATGGGTGGAGCCAGCATTTATTAATTGATGGGCGGGGCCAGCATTTATTCATCAATGGGCGTGGCCAGCATTTAAAGGGACAGTCCACCTTCTGAATTCTGATTGAAGAATTTTATCCATAGAAGAACAAAGAGCCAATCAGACCTGCAGAGCGTTGCAGCCACCGTCAGTGCAGGCTCCTCCCCCAGCGTCCCTCTGCGGGGAAAAGATGGGACTTGTAGTCCTTCCATTCATAGATCTGACGCGGGGGGCGGAGCCACACCATAGAAAGCTGCGGGCGGAAGGATCCCACAAATCAGGTAAGAGGGGGAGGGGTGGATGGAGAACATTCTCCAAAGGTGGACTGTGCCTTTAAATGAGTCAGTTTGAAGTGGGGGAGGGGCTGGGCCCCCTGTCAGGTTTTTATTCCTCTCTGTTCTGAGGCCCGTTGTCAGCGAGACGGGAAATCCAACATTGTACCGTTGTCACCGAGACAGGAAGTGACGCCAAATCCCGCATTGTACCGTTGTCACCGAGACAGGAAATGACGCCAAATCCGCATTGTACCGTTGTCACCGAGACAGGAAGTGACGGGAAATCCCGCATTGTACCGTTGTCACCGAGACAGGAAGTGACGCCAAATCCCGCATTGTACCGTTGTCACCGAGACAGGAAGTGATGGGAAATCCAGCATTGTACCGTTGTCACCGAGACAGGAAGTGACAGGAAATCCCGCATTGTACCGTTGTCACCGAAACGGGAAGTGATGGGAAATCCCGCATTGTACCGTTGTCTCCGAGACAGGTGATGAGTGATGGGGAAGGGGGGGGGGGGTGATGGGGGGGGGCTCTCATCTTCCTGGCTGTGTGGGGGGAGGGGAGGGAACGCCCCCAAATCTGCTGGAAAATAAACTGCAAATAAAGGTATGTCCCTCCCATATTGGGGGAGGGGCGCGGGTTGGCCCCCCCTTCGGGTGTCGAAGTGGTGTGGGACAGGGGGCGGAGCACTGTTCTTAGGGGCGGGAATTGGCATCCGTAGAAGAACGAGGAGGCGGAGTATGGAGGCTGTGTGTGAGGCCAGGGGCGGGGCCGGGGTCATGTGGGCGGGGCTCCGGTGCGGAGGAGATGGCGGCTCCCCGGCTGGTTCTGGTGTTCAGCGGGAAGAGAAAATCCGGGAAAGATTTCATCACCGACCGACTACAGGAGAGGTCCGAGCCGGGAGACCGACGGGGGGGGGGACTTCATATCCGGGACACCGGGGGGGGGGGGGGGGCTGTAAGGTGGGGTGACAGATATCAGGACACGCCTCTAACTCCTCCCCCATGTCTCTAACCACTCCCCTATCGTCCTATCTATTCCCCTCCCCATCATGTCTCTGACCCCTCCCCCATTCTCATGTATGACCCCTCCCCCACTCCCATGCCTCTCACCCCCTCCCCCATTCCTATGCCTCTGACCCTCCCCCATTACCATGTCTCTGACCCCTCCCCCATTCCCATTTCTCTGACCCCTCCCCCCCATTCTCATGCCTCTAACCCCTCCCCCATTCTCATGCCTCTGACCGCTCCCCCATTCTCATGTATGACCCCCCCCCCATGCTCTGACCCCTCCCCCATTCCCATGTCTCTGACCCCTCCCCCATTCCCATTTCTCTGACCCCTCCCCCATTCCTATGCCTCTGACCCTCCCCCATTCCTATGCCTCTGACCCCTCCTCCATTCCTATGCCTCTGACCCCTCCCCCATTCCCATGTCTCTGACCCTCCCCCATTACCATGTCTCTGACCCTCCCCCATTCCCATGTCTCTGACCCCTCCCCCATTCCCATTTCTCTGACCCCTCCCCCATTCTCATGCCTCTGACCCTCCCCCATTCTCTATGCCTCTGACCCCTCTCCATTCCATATGCTCTGACCCCTCCCCCATTCTCATGTATCTGACCCTCCCCCATTCTCATGCCTCTAACCCCTCCCCCATTCTCATGTATGACCCCTCCCCCATTCTCTGACCCCTCCCCCATTCTCATGTCTCTGACCCCTCCCCCATTCTCATGTCTCTGACCCCTCCCCCATTCTCATGTATGACCCCTCCCCCCATTCTCATGCCTCTGACCCCTCCCCCATTCTCATGTATGACCCCTCCCCCATGTCTCTGACCCCTCCCCATTCTCATGTCTCTGACCCTCCCCCCCTTCTCTTGTATGCCCCTTCCCCCATGTCTCTGACCCCTCCCCCATTCTCTTCCAGCCTGGGCGGAGACACGTGCGCCATCCTGCGTCTCTCGGGTCCCCTGAAGAAGCAGTTTGCTCAGGTGAGTGTCGGTAGGTGTCCCTGTGTCCCCGCCTTGTACTGCGCTCCCTCTATATGTCGCCCTCTCTCTCCCTGTGCAGGAGCGCGGTCTGGACTTCCAACGCCTGCTGGACGCCAGCGAGTACAAAGAGACCTTCCGAGCCGCCATGATCCGCTGGGGGGAGGAGCAGAGGACCGCCGACCCCGCCTACTTCTGCCGCCTCATCGTAGAGGGCGTGTCCCAGCCTGTGTGGGTATGAATTCCCCGCCCATACCGTAACTGTGGCAACCAATCCCATCCCCCCCAAACCTGCTGTGAGACCCTCATAGGCTCCGCCCCCCAGGGGCCACACTGCCCTCCCACCTCCTCCGCTGACACCTCCTTCTCCCCAATTCAGATCATCAGCGACGCCCGGCGGAGGTCAGACGTGGATTGGTTCCTGTCATCGTACCGCGGCGTCACCCAGACAGTGCGCGTGGTGGCGTCACATGAGACCCGGAGGGCGCGAGGATGGGAGTACACCCCGGGTGAGGAGACGCCCCAATATACCCCAACCACCCATCCCCCTTACATCAGAGTCCCCCCCCCTTACATCAGAGTCCCCCCCCCTTACATCAGAGTCCCCTCCCCCCTTACATCAGAGTCCCCCCCTCCCCCCTCACATCAGAGTCCCCTCCCCCCTCACATCAGAGTCCCCTTCCCCCCTCACATCAGAGTCCCCCTTCCCCCTCACATCAGAGCCCCCCCTTACATCAGAGTCCCCCCCCCCCCCCCCCCTTTACATCAGGATGCCCATCAGAGTCCCCCCTTACATCATATAGTCCTCAGTTTTATATATACCCTCCCCCATCTGTATATACCCTCCCCCATCTATATATACCCTCCCCCATCTGTATATACCCTCCCCCATCTATATATATACCCTCCCCCATCTGTATATACCCTCCCCCATCTATATATACCCTCCCCCATCTGTATATACCCTCCCCCATCTATATATACCCTCCCCCATCTGTATATACCCTCCCCCATCTGTATATACCCCTCTCTGATTCTTGTCCCTCCTCTGCAGAGGTGGATGAGGCGGAGTCAGAGTGCGGTCTGGACTCCGGCGTGACGTTTGATTGGATCATCACTAATGACGGGGATCAGCGCGCTCTGGAGGAGGAGCTTCACAAACTGACGGCGTTCATCCGGAGCAAGCTGGACGCAGACGTGTGATGGGGGCGGGGGGACCTTCCTGCGGGAAGGCGGAGCAACATCACGAAACGCGTCATCCTCGCCGTCCGCAGCTCCGCCCACCCAGAATGATCCGCAATAATTGTCTGTCGGCTGCTGGGAACAGATCTGCGTCCTGCGGATTGGTCGCGGTGTATGGACAAGGGCGGAGCCAGGGGCATCCATCATGGATACATTCCTTAAAGGGCCAATCCACCCCACAAGTTCTGTTCTAGGTGGAGGATGGGCGGTCCTTCCATGTGCCTGCTGGGACTTGTAGTGCGCTGGCAGGAGCCACCAATAAATGATTCCAATGATTCCAGGGATGACTCGGGTTTTGTTTTCTCTGTGTGGGCGGAGTTCTCTCTTTTGCAGCAGTTGTGCAGCGTTGACCATTGCGAATATCAGAACCAATCAACAGAAACGATTGATTTGACTCCGCCCACATATACTGGTGTGATGGCAGAAGAGATTATTGGGGGTCATTTCCTGCCCATTGGGGGGGGGGACTCCCCTAGGATTTTCTATTTTATTCTATTCTAGTCCTTTTATTTTTTTATTTATTTTTTTTCTATTCTGTTCTTTTATTTTCTATAATATTTTATTTAATTCTATTTTTTTTTTAATTCACATTTTAGAAGACGGCTTCTTTATATTCATTCTATTCTTTTCTATTCTGTTCCTTTATTTTTTTTTTATTCTTTTTTTTTTTTTTTATTTCTGTTCTTTTCATTTTATTTTCTAGAATATTCTTTTGTATTCTATTCTATTTGTTTTGTTTTTATTCAAATTTCAGGAGACGGCTATATTCTTTCTATTTTGTTCTAGTCTTTTCTATTCTGTTCCTTAATTTTTTTTATTCTATTTTTTTTTTCTATTCTTTTTGTTTAATTTTTTTTTTCTATAATATTCTGTTTTATTCTATTTGTTTTTGGTTTTTTTAAATTCGAATTTTAAGAGACGGCTATATTCTTTCTATATATTTTATCATTTTCTATTATATTCCTTTATTTTTTTTTTTCTATTCTGTTCTTTCATTTTTATTTTCTATAATACTTTTTTATTCTATTCTATTCTATTTGTTTTTTTTATTCATATTTCAGGAGACGGCTATATTCTTTCTATTTTGTTCTAGTCTTTGCTATTCCATTCCTTTTTATTTTTTTATTCTATTTTTTTCTATTCTGTTCTTTTATTTTCTATAATATTTTATTTAATTCTATTTTTTTTTTTTAATTCGCATTTTAGAAGATCCTTTATTTTCTGTTCCTTTATTTTTTTTATTCTGTTTTTTTTTTTTTTTCATTTATTTTCAGGAGACGGCTATATTCTTTCTATTTTGTTCTAGTCTTTTCTATTCCATTCCTTTTATTTTTTTTATTCTATTACTTTATTTTTTTTTATTCAATTTTTTTTTCTATAATATTCTGTTTTATTCTATTTGTTTTTTTTTCATTCAAATTTCAAGAGACAGCTATATTCTTTCTATATTCTTTCTATATATTTTTTTCTTTACTATTCCTTTATTTTATTATTCTATTTTTTCTATTCTGTTCCATTTTATTCTCCATAATATTCTGTTTTTTATTATTTTGTTTTCTGTTTGTTTTTTTCATTTCGGGAACAGCTTCTTTCTATTTATTCTATTCTTTTCTATTGTATTCGTTTCTTTTTTTCTATTCTGTTCTTTCATTTTATTTTCTATAATATTCTTTTTATTCTTTTTATTTTTTTTTTTTTTTATTCAAGTTTCAGGAGACGGCTATATTCTTTCTATATATTCTGTTCTTTTCTATTCCTTTATTTTTTTTTTAATTCTTTTTTTTCTATTCTGTTCCATTTTATTTTCCATAATATTCTGTTTTATTCTTTTTGGGGGGGTTTTATTCTAATTTCGGGAGATGGCTTCTTTCTATTTTTTCTTTTCTATTCTATTCCTTAATTTTTTTTTAATTTTTATTCTGTTCTTTCATTTTATTTTCTATAATATTCTTTTTTTTATTCTATTCTATTTGTTTTTTTATTCAAATTTCAGAAGATGGCTATATTCTTTATTCTTTTTATTCCTTTATTTTTTTATTCTTTTTTTTTTCTATTCTGTTCTTTCATTTTTTTTTCTATTATATTCTTTTTATTCTATTTTTTTTTTTTTTTATTATTCAAATTTCAGGAGACGGCTATATTCTTTCTATATATTCTGTTCTTTTCTATTCCTTTATTTTTTTTTTAATTCTATTTTTCTATTCTGTTACATTTTATTTTCCATAATATTCTGTTTTATTCTTTTTGGGGTTTTTTTATTCGAATTTCGGGAGATGGCTTCTTTCTATTTATTCTTTTCTATTCTATTCCTTAATTTTTTTTTATTTTTTCTATTCTGTTCTTTCATTTTATTTTCTATAATATTTCTTTTTTTATTCTATTCTATTTGTTTTTTTTATTCATCTTAGATAGGATTTCCTCTCACTTCCTGTTTTGGTTATGAGACAGGAAGTGAAGGAAAATCTCTCTGGCAGTGACATTAATTTTAGTGACAACCAGGGATTTCCTTTCAATTCATTCCTGTTGTCACTTTTGGACAGAAAGTGACGGGAAATCTCCCCAACGAGGACACTAGTTCTGGGGACAACCAGGAATCCCCTTACTTTGGAGGGATTTCCTCTCACTTCCTATTGTGTTTATGGGACAGGAAGTGAAGGACAATTTCTCCAATGGGGACACTAGTTCAGACGACAACCAGAGATTTTCTTACTTTGTGGGAAATTTCCTCACTTCCTGTTTTGGTTATGGGACAGGAAGTAAAGGGAAATCTTCCCAATGGGGACACTAGGTAAGGTGACAACCATGGGCTCCCCCACTTTGGAAGGATTTCCTCACTTCCTGTTTTGGCAATGGGACAGGAAGTGAAGGAAAATCTCCTCGGCGGTGACATTAATTTTAGTGACAACCAGGGATTTAATTTCATTCCTGTTGTCACTTTAGGGCAGGAAGTAACAGGAAATCTCCCCAATAGGGACACTAGTTCCAGTGACAACCAGGGATTCCTTCACTTTGGAAAAATTTCCTTCACTTCCTATTGGGTTTATGGGACAGAAAGTGAAGGAAAATGTTTCCAATGGGGACACTAGTTCTGGGGATTCCCTCACCTTGGAATGATTTCCTCTCACTTCTTGTTTTGGCTATGGGGCAGGAAGTGAAGGAAAATCTCCCCGACGGTGACATCAATTTTAATGACAACCAGGAAGTTCCTTCCACTTCCTGTTGTCACTATGGGAAAAGAAGTGAAGGAAAATCTCCCCAATGGGGACACTAGTTCAGGTGACAAGTAGGAAATGACTTAGTTTGGAGGGATTAATGCTCACTTCTTGTTTTGGTTACGAGGCAGGAAATAAAGGAAAATCTCCCTGGCGGTAACACTAATTGTGGTGACAACCAGAGAGTCCCTCACTTTGGAAGAATTTCCTCTCACTTCCAGTAGGGTTTTATGGGACAGGAAGTGAAGGGAAATCTACCCAATGGGGACACTAGTTCAGGCGACAACCAGGGATTTCCCTTCCTGTTGTCACTATGGGACAGGAAGTGAAGGGAAATCTGTCCAATGGGGACACTAGTTCTAGTGACAACCAGGGATTTCCTTTCCCTTCCTGTTGTCACTATGGGACAGGAAGTGAAGTGAAATCTGCCCAATGGGGACACTAGTTCCGGTGACAACCAGGGATTTCCTCTCACTTCCTGTTTCGGTTATGGGACACAGAGGGGTGATAACTGAGAGCCCCATACAAATACCAGTTGCCTGGTAAGGGGGGGGGGGTTCTTCCTGACTGTCATGCTGATCCTGCGGCTTCCATAGTGCCCTCAGGCCCGCAGAGTCAGGCCAGAATTCCTCCTCCTACTGCCAGGTCACGAACTCATCGCACTGAAGCCAGGGGATCAGCATGACAGCCAGGCAAGCAGCATTTCCGGCCGGACACAGCCCTCATCCGGGTCCCCTTTGTAGTTCTGAGTTTATAAACGGAGTGGGCGGGGCTTGCTGAGCTCATAACAGGCCCCACGTGCGGCCTCCCACAGACACTTCCGCGTCACATGACGCCCCGGGCGCTCTGACCTCAGCCGGTTGGGCGTGTCTTCTGGCGCACGCCAACTATCGTCATCGCATGCCCGCCCCCTCCGGGCAAAGCTTTCTGCGCATGCGCCGCCTTCCAGAGGCCGCGACCGAGCCAGAGACCGGGAGATCTCCCAGCTTGCCCCGCGCTGAGAGCCGGATAAAACAAAGAGCCCCCCGAAGCAGCTGACTGCTGAGACCTCGCTGGGGCCAATATTAAAGGATCTGAGGGGCCCCAGGAGTTCCCCCGACCGCCTCGCCCTGTGTGTGGCCCCTAGTTGAAGCATTCGAGGGGCCCAAGGAGCAGCTCTGGATTTAAATCGCTCAAGGGCCCCTTGTGAAGACATTTAGGGGCCCTGTGGACACACTCCTGTGTTGGAGCCATCGTGAGGCCCCTGTGTGGACACTGCTAGGGGCCCCAGAGGACTGCTGAGTATATTGAGGGGCCCCTGGAAGCACCCTGCATCGGGAACCGCAAAGGACCCCCCGGAACATCATCACAGAGGGGCCACAGGAAGCCAGGACCCCCTGGGACCGCTGTGTGGGCCCCACAGAACCTCCATTGTGGTGCGGGGCCCCTCTCACGGGATGTGACTTTATAAAGGGGTCCCCAGAACCCTCACTGTACCCGGAGGACCCCTCCCCCCACTGAGATTTGGGGTTCCCAACAGCCAATCAACATAAAAGCGTGGATCCAAGATGGCGTCCGCCGCCGCCGCCGAACCCATGGGGGGCTCCAGTCCAGGTGAGAGATATAAATGGGAGGGGGGGGGGGCTGTAATCCCCTCCCCTCAATACTTCTCATTTTGGGGGGGAGGGTAAGAAACAACCTGTTATACTGGAAGAGGGGCCCCTTGGAGGTGGGGCCCCCCCCATTATGTCCTGAGATTCCCCTTCCAGATAAGAACCCCCCCATTAATGTCCTGAGATTCCCCTTCCAGATAAGGACCCCCCCCCCCCATTATGTCCTGAGATTCCCCCTTCCAGATAAGAACCCCCCCATTATGTCCTGAGGGGACCCCCCCAATAATGTCCTGAGATTCCCCTTTGAGATAAGACCCCCCTCATAATGTCCTGAGATTCCCCTTCCAGGTAAGGCCCCCCCCCAATAATTTCCTGAGATTCCCCTTTGAGGAAAGACCCCCCCCCCCCAATGTTCTGAGATTCCCCTTTGAGGTAAGGACCCCCCCCATAATGTCCTGAGATTCCCCTTCCAGGTAAGGCCCCCCCCCAATAATTCCTGAGATTCCCCTTTGAGGAAAGACCCCCCCCCCCCCCTCCCTCAATGTTCTGAGATTCCCCTTTGAGGTAAGACCCCCCCCCCCCCAATAATGTCCTGAGATTCCCCTTTGAGGTAAGGAACCCCCCCAATAATGTCCTGAGATTCCCCTTTGAGGTAAGGAACCCCCCCAATAATGTCCTGAGATTCCCCTTTGAGGTAAGGAACCCCCCCCCCATTAATGTCCTGAGATTCCCCTTTGAGGAAAGATCCCCCCCCAATAATGTCCTGAGATTCCCCTTTGAGGTAAGGACCCCCCCCCCCAATAATGTCCTGAGATTCCCCTTTGAGGTAAGGACCCCCCCCCCAATAATGTCCTGAGATTCCCCTCGAGGGTAAGGACCCCCCAATAATGCCATCTGGGGAGCAGGGGGGTCTCTGAGGTGTGAACCCCCCAATACTGAACTTTATGTGAGGAGCCCCCATTACCCCCATGTGTCAGAAGCAAGATCCCCTCCCCCCATAATACCCTGCATAGGAAGGCTAGACCCCCCCCCCCCCCCCCCCCCCCCCCCAGTCCCACCATGTTCCCCGAAGGTAAGACCCCACACTGCCCTGTATGGTGGGGCCCTCAGAGATGAGGATCTTCCCACTACTTCCTGTTGTGGGGGGGCCCTAGTAAACTCTGTGATGGGTTGGAGCTTCTCAGAGGAATCCCCCCCCCCCCCCCCCCCCAATTGCCCTGTATGGGGGGGCACACAACTGAGAACACCTCCCCCCCCCCCTCTGCCACCCTGTATTGGGGGAGGCTGTGTAGGGGTGAGGCCCCCGCGTTGGATAGGAGTAGATGGCTCCCCTACATATACAGGGTGGAGGACCCCAGAGGGCCACACTTTTATTTCCTTCACATCAGCGTCACGCGGAGGAACTCCTATCCCTAATCCGCACTAATTATACCCGGCGCTGTCACCGCGTGCCGTCATCTGGAATGTGGTGACTCACCCCCCGGCTACGGAGTAAACACGAGGCTGGGGCCAGATTACCTGCCGCTGCGGGACTACAACTCCCAGCATCACCCACCTCCCTGACACTGCGGGACTACAACTCCCAGCATCACCTCCCTCCCTGACACTGCGGGACTACAACTCCCAGCATCACCCACCTCCCTGACACTGCGGGACTACAACTCCCAGCATCACCCACCTCCCTGACACTGCGGGACTACAACTCCCAGCATCACCCACCTCCCTGACACTGCGGGACTACAACTCCCAGCATCACCTCCCTGACACTGCGGGACTACAACTCCCAGCATCACCTCCCATGACACTGCGGGACTACAACTCCCAGCATCACCTCCCTGACACTGCGGGACTACAACTCCCAGCATCACCTCCCTGACACTGCGGGACTACAACTCCCAGCATCACCTCCCTGACACTGCGGGACTACAACTCCCAGCATCACCCACCTCCCTGACACTGCGGGACTACAACTCCCAGCATCACCCACCTCCCTGACACTGCGGACTACAACTCCCAGCATCACCCACCTCCCTGACACTGCGGGACTACAACTCCCAGCATCACCCACCTCCCTGACACTGCGGGACTACAACTCCCAGCATCACCCACCTCCCTGACACTGCGGGACTACAACTCCCAGCATCACCCACCTCCCTGACACTGCGGGACTACAACTCCCAGCATCACCCACCTCCCTGACACTGCGGGACTACAACTCCCAGCATCACCCACCTCCCTGACACTGCGGGACTACAACTCCCAGCATCACCCACCTCCCTGACACTGCGGGACTACAACTCCCAGCATCACCCACCTCCCTGACACTGCGGACTACAACTCCCAGCATCACCCACCTCCCTGACACTGCGGGACTACAACTCCCACTACAACATCACCCACCTCCCTGACACTGCGGGACTACAACTCCCAGCATCACCCACCTCCCTGACTACACTGCCAGGGACTACAGCTCCCAGCATCACCCACCTCCCTGACACTGCGGGACTACAGCTCCCAGCATCACCCACCTCCCTGACACTGCGGGACTACAACTCCCAGCATCACCCACCTCCCTGCCGCTGCGGGACTACAGACTCCCAGCATCACCCACCTCCCTGCCGCTGCGGGACTACGACTCCCAGCATCACCTCCCTGCCGCTGCGGTGACTACGACTCCCAGCATCACCTCCCTGCCGCTGCGGGACTACGACTCCCAGCATCACCCACCTCCCTGCCGCTGCTGCGGGACTACGACTCCCAGCATCACCCACCTCCCTGCCGCTGCGGGACTACGACTCCCAGCATCCACCGGGACTACGACCCAGCCACCTCCCTGCCGCTGCGGGACTACGACTCCCAGCATCACCCACCTCCCTGCCGCTGCGGGACTACGACTCCCAGCATCACCTCCCTGCCGCTGCGGGACTACGACTCCCAGCATCACCCACCTCCCTGCCGCTGCGGGACTACGACTCCCAGCATCACCCCGCTGCGGGACTACCTCCCAGCATGCCTGCTGCGGGACTACGACTCCCAGCATCACCCACCTCCCTGCCGCTGCGGGACTACGACTCCCAGCATCACCCACCTCCCTGCCGCTGCGGGACTACGACTCCCACACCTCCCTGCCATGCCGCTGACTCCCAGCATCACCCTCCCTGCCGCTGCGGGACTACGCTCCCAGCATCACCTCCCTGCCCAGCTGCGGGACTACGACTCCCAGCATCAACCACCTCCCTGCGCTGCGGGACTACGACTCCCAGCATCACCTCCCTGCCGCTGCGGGACTACGACTCCCAGCATCACCTCCCTGCCGCTGCGGGACTACGACTCCCCAGCATCCACCTCCCTGCCGCTGCGGGACTACGACTCCCAGCATCACCTCCCTGCCGCTGCGGGACTACGACTCCCAGCATCACCCACCTCCCTGCCGCTGCGGGACTACGACTCCCAGCATCACTCCCTGCCGCTGCGGGACTACGACTCCGAGCATCACCTCCCTGCCGCTGCGGGACTACGACTCCCAGCATCACCTCCCTGCCGCTGCGGGACTACGACTCCCAGCATCACCTCCCTGCCGCTGCGGGACTAGACTCCGCACTCCCTGACGCTGCGGGAGCACTCCCTGCATCCCTCATCACCTCCCTGCCGCTGCGGGACTGCGACTCCCAGCATCACCCACCTCCCTGCGCTGCGGGGACTGCATCCCACATCACCCACCTCCCTGCCGCTGCGGGACTGCGACTCCCAGCATCACCTCCCTGCCACCGCGGGACTGCAACTCCCAGCATCACACACCTACTTGACACTACGGGACTACGACTCCCAGCATCACCTCCCTGCCATACCTGGACAACCATTCTGGGACTACAACTCCCTCCAGGCTGTGAGCGGAGGGGATGCTGTGACTCGGAGTGCCGCCTTATCTAAGCCTGGCAACCATTTCCGGGAGATGAAAACAACTCCGAATCCTTCCCATGCCGACCGTCCGCATTCCTCATTGTTTGTGCGCTCCGCCCTGACGTCACCCCGCGTGCACACAACACGAGCAACTGTGCACGTGGCCCGACCGGTCCTACCTGTGCCAGGCCACGCCCACCTCTACTACCTGTGTGCCAGGCCACGCCCACCTCTACTACCCGTTGCCAGGCCACGCCCACCCCTGCCCCTGTGCGCCACTGAATACCCCCCCCCCATCCCAGGTGTGCGCCACTGAATACCCCCCCCCATCCCAGGTGTGCGCCACTGAATACCCCCCCCATCCCAGGTGTGCGCCACTGAATACCCCCCCCAATCCCAGGTATGCACAACTGAATACCCCCCCCCATCCCAGGTGTGCGCCACTGAATACCCCCCCCCCCCCATCCCGTGTGTGCGCCACTGAATACCCCCCCCATCCCGTGTGTGCGCCACTGAATACCCCCCCCCATCCCGGGTGTGCGCCACTGAATACTCCCCCCCCCCCCCCCCCCATCCCGTGTGTGCGCCACTGAATACCCCCCCCCCATCCTCCATCCCGGGTGTGCGCCACTGAATACCCCCCCCCCCCATCCCGGGTGTGCGCCACTGAATACCCCCCCCCCCATCCCGGGTGTGCGCCACTGAATACCACCCCCCCCATCCCGGGTGTGCGCCACTGAATACCACCCCCCCCCATCCCGGGTGTGCGCCACTGAATACCACCCCCCCCATCCCGGGTGTGCGCCACTGAATACCACCCCCCCCATCCCGGGTGTGCGCCACTGAATATACCACCCCCCCCCCCATCCCGGGTGTGCGCCACTGAATACCACCCCCCCCATCCCGGGTGTGCGCCACTGAATACCACCCCCCCCCGGGTGTGCGCCACTGAATCCCGGGTGTGCGCCACTGAATACCACCCCCCCCATCCCGGGTGTGCGCCACTGAATACCACCCCCCCCATCCCGGGTGTGCGCCACTGAATACCACCCCCCCCCCCCATCCCGGGGTGTGCGCCACTGAATACCACCCCCCCCATCCCGGGTGTGCGCCACTGAATACCACCCCCCCATCCCGGGTGTGCGCCACTGAATACCACCCCCCCATCCCGGGTGTGCGCCACTGAATACCACTGAATACCACCCCCCCCCATCCCGGGTGTGCGCCACACTGAATACCACCCCCCCCCATCCCGGGTGTGCGCCACTGAATACCACCCCCCCCCGGGTGTGCCCATCCCGGGTGTGCGCCACTGAATACCACCCCCCCATCCCGGGTGTGCGCCACTGAATACCACCCCCCCCCCATCCCGGGTGTGCGCCACTGAATACCACCCCCCCATCCCGGGTGTGCGCCACTGAATACCCCCCCCCCACTGATCCCGGTGTGCGCCACTGAATACCACCCCCCCATCCCGGGTGTGCGCCACTGAATACCACCCCCCCCATCCCGGGTGTGCGCCACTGAATACCACCCCCCCATCCCGGGTGTGCGCCACTGAATACCACCCCCCCATCCCGGGTGTGCGCCACTGAATACCACCCCCCCCATCCCGGGTGTGCGCCACTGAATACCACCCCCCCCCCATCCCGGGTGTGCGCCACTGAATACCACCCCCCCATCCCGGGTGTGCGCCACTGAATACCACCCCCCCCCCATATCCCGGGTGTGCGCCACTGAATACCACCCCCCCCATATCCCGGGTGTGCGCCACTGAATACCACCCCCCCCGGGTGTGAGCGCCATATCCCGGGTGTGCGCCACTGAATACCACCCCCCCCATATCCCGGGTGTGCGCCACTGAATACCACCCCCCCCATCCCGGGTGTGCGCCACTGAATACCACCCCCCCCCCCCATACCACCCCCCCATCCCGGGTGTGCGCCACTGAATACCACACCCCCATCCCCCCCCCCCATCCCGGGTGTGCGCCACTGAATACCACCCCCCCCCCCCCCACCCATCCCGGGTGTGCGCCACTGAATACCACCCCCCCCCATCCCGGGTGCGCCACTGAATACCACCCCCCCCCGGGTGTGCGCCACTGAAAATAATACCACCCCCCGGGTGTGCGCCACTGAATACCACCCCCCCCCATCCCGGGTGTGCGCCACTGAATACCACCCCCCCCCCATCCCGGGTGTGCGCCACTGAATACCACCCCCCCCCCATCCCGGGTGTGCGCCACTGAATACCACCCCCCCCCATCCCGGGTGTACCAGGGAATACTGTCCTCCTGACCAAGGTTTCCCCGATTACCTTCTCTGTCACAGCAGTAGCCCCCCCCCCCCCTCCTGTCTGAGGTGGTATACACAGCTGTACCCCACATACATATCCCCTCCCCCACTGTGCTGTACAGGGGGTGACACCCCCCGAGCTCACATTCACACCAGTGACACCCCAACTTGGCTCCCTGGGGGTCCCATCCCCTCCGATGGTGTTCGCTGCCCCCCTCACCAAACTCTCCGCATTCATTAGGATTAGATTGTAAGCTCTTGTGGGGAGCCGGCAGCTGGACGGCTTCTGCTGCCTCCTAAATCCTTCTCTACTTTCTCTCCTGTAGTGCTGGGCCTTCTGTGCTGCGGCGGGCCTCGGCACATGCGTGTCCCAGAGAGGTACCCGGGCGTGCCGTGTGCATGTACCCCCCCCCTTCCCGTGTATGAGTCCTGCCGTGCAGCATGCCGCTTGTATGACGTTCAGTGAGCGCTCAGACTGACCCCTGTCCTGTGCCGTGTGTATATGAGGGCCGCCATTGCTGACCTCCATCTGGACCTGGAACAAGCATGTGGCCAGTGAAAGCACAGGTCATGCAGAGGGAGCTCCGCGGGGGCCGGCCTTCATTCCTCTCTCCGTGACCATTGCTGTGTCTGCTATTAACATCATAAAGAATGATGGCGCTCAGCGACTTCTGGACCAATGAGATGCCGCTTCCTGGGAGCCATGGCAACAGATGGGAAATGTCCCCGTCATCCTCATCCTCCTGCTTCAGTCATAAATCTGCACACAGGGACTATGGTGTCCCCGGGGGTGACATGCGGCCCTCGAGGATTCTATGTATACAGAGCTGCATGGCTAGCGGGAGGAGGGGGAGGGGTTTATGAATTGGGAGCGGAGTCACAGAACGGACAACACCCCCCCCCCCCAGGGAGAGACTCCTAGGAGTGCCGGGGTCCCATGGAAGACACCCCAGAGAGAGCGACACAGGAGCCTCAGGGTCAATGAGTTAACAGGGGGGCCCCCTGGGGTCCCTATGTGAGTGGGACCCCCGGGGTCACTGATGTGAGGGAGGGACCCCCGGGGGTCACTGATGTGAGGGAGGGACCCCCGGGGGTCACTGATGTGAGGGAGGGGCCCCCGGGGGTCACTGATGTGAGGGAGGGGCCCCCGGGGGTCACTGATGTGAGGGAGGGGCCCCCGGGGGTCACTGATGTGAGGGAGGGGCCCCCACGGGTCACTGATGTGAGGGAGGGGCCCCCGGGGGTCACTGATGTGAGGGAGGGGCCCCCCCAGGGGGTCACTGATGTGAGGGAGGGGCCCCCCCAGGGGTCACTGATTGAGGGAGGAGGCCCCCCCAGGGGTCACTGATGTGAGGGAGGGGCCCCCCCCCCGGGGGTCACTGATGTGAGGGAGGGGCCCCCCCCCCGGGGGTCACTGATGTGAGGGAGGAGGCCCCCCCCGGGGGTCACTGATGTGAGGGAGGAGCCCCCCCGGGGGTCACTGATGTGAGGGAGGGGGGCCCCCCCAGGGTCACTGGAGGCAGTAGTGTCACAGGTGAAATGGGGTCATTGGGTGACACTGGAGACTTGGCCCCCCAGCACACCAGTGGAAGCCGGGACCAATCAGGAGAGGACAGCTGGAATTTGCTGCATTGTCTACAAGCAGTACCGTTGCCATGGTTGCCGGGAAGATAAATGTTTTTTGTTCATTACTGAGATTGGAGATCCGCCTCTAATAACATTCCATTCTAGGAGATGGGCGGAGCTTTCTATTAAGGCTGGGCTTGGCCCTGGGGCCGCCATTCGGACTGCGCTGCGTACCGAGTACCTGTCAGGCTCCGCCCTCAGTGGATTGTCGGTCAGAGGCGTGCAGGACCGGACTTGTCTCTGGCAGATCCCTCCAGGTGCATTGTGGGTGGAGACGGGAAATGTCTGACGTGAGGATCTGCCGTGTCTCCGCTCTGCATTCCTGACTCCACCGAAGGGAGCGGAGAATACCCCAGGGTCATCCTCATCCTCCGGCTTTACCACCCGCCCTGCATGAGGATTATGTTCCTCCTCCTGGGAACCCCTCATAATGGGCACAGGGGGGGTACAGGTGGGATGGTGGGAACCCCTCATAAATGGGCACAGGGATGGTGGGAACCCCTCATAATGGGCACAGCGGCTGTACAGACCCGGAAACTTCAGCACAGGGATGTCGGGAACCCCTTATAATGGGCACAGGGATGGTGGGAACCCCTCATAATGGGCACAGCGGCTGTACAGAACCCAGAAACTCAGCACAGGGATGGTGGGAACCCCTCATAATGGGCACAGGGGGGGTACAGACCCGGGAATTTCAGCACAGGGATGGCGGGAACCCCTCATAATGGGCACAGGGGTGTCGGGAACCCCTTATAATGGGCACAGGGATGGTGGGAACCCCTCATAATGGGCACAGGGGTGGCGGGAACCCCTCATAATGGGCACAGGGGTGGCGGGAACCCCTCATAATGGGCACAGGGGTGGCGGGAACCCCTCATAATGGGCACAGGGGTGGCGGGAACCCCTCATAATGGGCACAGGGGTGGCGGGAAGCCCTCATAATGGGCACAGGGGTGGCGGGAACCCTCATAATGGGCACAGGGGTGGCGGGAAGCCCTCATAATGGGCACAGGGGTGGCTGGAAGCCCTCATAATGGGCACAGCGGCTGTACAGACCTAGAAACTCAGCACAGGGATGGTGGGAACCCCTCCATATTGGGCACAGGGGTGGCGGGAACCCCTCATATTGGGCACAGGGATATAGTGGGAACCCCTCATAATGGGCACAGAAGATGCTGTCAGGGGGTTTGACTGTCTTGTGTCCACCAAACGATGGGACCCTTGTATGTATACTGACCCGTAGGGAGCGCTGTTGTGATGAATACATAGAGTGGCGGATTTGTTGGTCTGTGTGGGATTGTTCAGGCAATAAAACTATGCGCGTGGCGGTCTCTGTGTGCGCGGCGGTGGTCTCTGCGCGTGGCAGCTGTGTGCGCGCAGTGTCTGCGTGCGCGGCGTGCGTGCGCGCGGGTGTCTGCGTGCGCGGCGGTCTCTGTGTGCTCGGCGTGGTCTCTGCGCGTGGCAGCTGTGTGCACACAGTCTCTGTGTGTGTGCGCGGCGGTCTGTGTGTGCGCGCGGCGGTCTGAGGGCGCGCGGGCGGTGGTATCTGTGTGTGCGGTGGCTGTGTGCGCACGGTCTCTGTGCACGGTAGCGGTAGCTGTGCATGCGCGGTGTGGGCGCGGGCGGTGGTATCTGTGTGCGCACGGTCTCTGTGTGCACGGTAGCTATGTGTGCGCGCGGTCTCTGTGTGCGCGCGGTGTCTGCGTGCGCGGGGCGGTCTCTGTGTGCGCGCGGTGTCTGCGTGGCGGGGACATTGGTGACCTCGGGGTGTTATGGAGGATAATGTACGTCTCTTCTGTCTGCAGGAGCTGCCACCACCATGAAGAGGAGCATCCCAGGAGAGTCTGGAGGAACGGTATGTGAGGTCTGTGATCTCATTGGTAGGGGAAAGGGGGCTGTGATCTCAATGGGGGGGGGGTTTGTAATCTCAGCGGTGGGGGGCGGTCTGTGATCTCAGTGGTGGGAGAGGTGTGTGATCTCTGTTAGGGGGGAAAGGGGGGCGTGATCTCAGTGGGGGGGGGGGGATTTCAGTGGTGGGGGGGTTTGTGATTTCAGCGGTGGAGGGGGGTTTTGGGAGGGGTTTGTGACCTCAGCGGTGGGAGGGAGGTCTGTGACCTCAGCGGAGAAGGGGGAGGGAGGTCTGTGACCTCAGCGGAGAGGGGGGGGGAGGTCTGTGACCTCAGCGGAGAGGGGGAGGGAGGTCTGTGACCTCAGCGGAGTACTGGGGGTGGAGTCTGTGATCTCAGCGGAGAGGGGAGGGAGGTCTGTGACCTGAAGAGGTGGGGAGTCTGTGATCTCAGCGGTGAGGGGGAGGGAGGTCTGTGACCTCAGCGGAGAGGGGGGGGAGGTCTGTGATCTCAGCGGTGGTGGCAGAGGAAGTCTGTGACGCGGAGTCTGTGATCTTGGTGGTGGCTGAAGGGCGGGGGTCTGTGATCTTGGTGGTGACTGAAGGGCGGGTCTGTGATCTTGGTGGTGGCTGAAGGGCGGGGTCTGTGATCTTGGTGGTGACTGAAGGGCGGAGTCTGTGATCTTGGTGGTGGCTGAAGGGCGGGGTCTGTGATCTTGGTGGTGGCTGAAGGGCGGGGTCTGTGATCTTGGTGGCTGGAGGGCGGAGTCACCCCTAACCCTTTGTGGTGTTGTAGATGGCGAGCGCGTCGGGTCAGTTTGGCACACAGACAATGAAGAAGATTGGCCATCGGGGAGTGGACTCTACAGGGGAGACCACGTATAAGAAAGGTAGGCCCCTCCCTCTTTTATATCACTTCCTGTGTATTGTGACGTCTCTCTGACCTCCCCTCCCCCCCCCACAGACGACGTCTTCTGCCCTGAAAGGAGCCATCCAGCTCGGCATCACTCACACGGTGGGCAGCCTCAGCACCAAACCCGAGAGAGACGTCCTCATGCAAGACTTCTACGTGGTAGAGAGCATCTTCTTCCCTGCGTACGTATCCAATCAGCATTGTCCTCTGATGCTCCTCCCCTTCTTTATACATTGACGCCCCTCCCACCACCCCCACCGTCCTCTAGTGTCCTGTAGAGTTTACTCTGTACCTCCCCCTAATGTTCCATACAATCTCCCCCCCCCGTACCTCCCTAGTGTCCTGTACAATCCCCCCCTGTACCTCCACAGTGTCCTGTACAATCCCCCCCTGTACCTCCCAGTGTCCTGTACAATCCCCCCCTGTACCTCCCTAGTGTCCTGTACGAGAGATCCCCCCCCTGTACCTCCACAGTGTCCTGTACAATCCCCCCCCCTGTACCTCCCAGTGTCCTGTACGATCCCCCCCCTGTACCTCCACAAGTGTCCTGTACCCCCCCCCGTCCCCATAGTGTCCTGTACAATCCCCCCCCCGTACCTCCCTAGTGTCCTGTACAATCCCCCCCTGTACCTCCATAGTGTCCTGTACAATCCCCCCCCGTACCTCCACAGTGTCCTGTACGATCCCCCCCCCCCCCCCGTACCTCCCTAGTGTCCTGTACGATCCCCCCCCCCCCCCTACCTCCCTAGTGTCCTGTACAAATCCCCCCCCCCCCGTACCTCCCTAGTGTCCTGTACGATCCCCCCCCCCCCCCCGTACCTCCCTAGTGTCCTGTATGATCCCCCCCCCCCCGTAACTCCATAGTGTCCTGTACAATCCCCCCCTGTACCTCCATAGTGTCCTGTACGATCCCCCCCCCCCCCGTACCTCCATAGTGTCCTGTACGATCCCCCCCCCCCCCCGTACCTCCATAGTGTCCTGTACGATCCCCCCCCGTACCTCCATAGTGTCCTGTACGATCCCCCCCCCCGTACCTCCATAGTGTCCTGTGCATACCCCCACCCCCCCCCCCCCCCCCTCCACAGTGTCCTGTACAATCCCCCCCCCCGCGTACCTCCACAGTGTCCTGTACAATCCCCCCCCCCCCCGTACCTCCACAGTGTCCCTGTACGATCCCCCCCGTACCTCCCACAGTGTCCTGTACGATCCCCCCCCCCCACACCCCCCGTACCTCCACATTGTCCTGTACAATCCCCCCCCCCCCCCCCGTACCTCCACATTGTCCTGTACAATCCCCCCCGTACCTCCACATTGTCCTGTACAATCCCCCCCCCCCCCCATGTACCTCCACAGTGTCCTGTACAATCCCCCCCCCCTGTACCTCCACAGTGTCCTGTACAATCCCCCCCCTGTACAATCCCCCCTGTACCTCCATAGTGTCCTGTGCAATCCCCCCCCGTACCTCCACATTGTCCTGTGCAATCCCCCCCGTACCTCCACATTGTCCTGTGCAATCCCCCCCGTACCTCCACATTGTCCTGTGCAATCCCCCCCGTACCTCCATACTGTCCTGTGCAATCCCCCCCCCCGTACCTCCCTAGTGTCCTGTGCGATTTTCCCCCCCTGTACCTCCATATTGTCCTGTGCGAATCCCCCCCCCCCCCCCCCCCATCCGTACCTCCCTAGTGTCCTGTGCGATACCCCCCCCCCCCCTGTACCTCCCTAGTGTCCTGTGCGCGATACCCCCCCGTACCTCCCTAGTGTCCTGTGCGATTCCCCCCCCCCCCCCCCTCCCTCCATAGTGTCCTGTGCGATATCCCCCCCCCCCGTACCTCCCTAGTGTCCTGTGCGAATCCCCCCCCCCCTGTACCTCCCTAGTGTCCTGTGCGATCCCCCCCCCCCCTACCTCCATAGTGTCCTGTGCGATCCCCCCCCCCCGTACCTCCCTAGTGTCCTGTGCGATACCCCCCCCCCCCTGTACCTCCCTAGTGTCCTGTGCGATACCCCCCCCCCCCCCGTACCTCCCTAAGTGTCCTGTGTGCGATACCCCCCCCCCGTACCTCCCCTAGTGTCCTGTGCGGATACCCCCCCCCGTACCTCCCTAGTGTCCTGTGCGATACCCCCCCCCGTACCTCCCTAGTGTCCTGTGCGATACCCCCCCCCCCCGTACCTCCCTAGTGTCCTGTGTGATTCCCCCCCCCCCCCGTACCTCCCTAGTGTCCTGTGCGATACCCCCCCCCCGTACCTCCCTAGTGTCCTGTGCCCCCCCCCCCCCCCCCCCCCCCCTCCCTAGTGTCCCTGTGTGATACCCCCCCCCCCCCCCGTAACCTCCCTAGTGTCCCTGTGCCCCCCCCCCCCGTACCTCCCTAGTGTCCTGTGCCCCCCCCCCCCCGTACCCCCTAGTGTCCTGTGCCCCCCCCCCCGCACCTCCCTAGTGTCCTGTGTGATTCCCCCCCCCCCCCCCGTACCTCCCTAGTGTCCTGTGTGATTTCCCCCCCCCCCCTACCTCCCTAGTGTCCTGTGCCCCCCCCCGCACCTCCCCTAGTGTCCTGTGTGATTCCCCACCCCCCCCCCCCCCCCCCCCCCCACGTACCTCCCTAGTGTCCTGTGCGATATACCCCCCCCCCCCCCGTAACCTCCCTAGTGTCCTGTGCCCCCCCCCCCCCCCCCGTACCTCCCTAGTGTCCTGTGCCCCCCCCCCCCCCCGCTCCTCCTAGTGTCCCCCCCCCCCCCGCACCTCCCTAGTGTCCTGTGTGATTCCCCCCCCCCCCCCCGTACCTCCCTAGTGTCCTGTGCGATACCCCCCCCCCCCCCCCCGGCCACCTCACCCCCACCCACCTGTAACCTCCCTAGTGTCCTGTGCCCCCCCCCCCCCCGTACCTCCCTAGTGTCCTGTGCCCCCCCCCCCCCCCCGTACCTCCCTAGTGTCCTGTGCCCCCTCCCCCCCCGTACCTCCTCAGCGCCCTCTAATGGTCTGTCTCCCTCTCCTCTGCAGCGAGGGCAGTAATCTCACCCCCGCCCATCACTACAACGACTTCCGGTTTAAGACGTACGCTCCGGGTGGCGTTCCGCTACTTTCGGGAGCTCTTCGGCATTCGGCCAGACGATTATTTGGTGAGTAAACGCTTCGATCGGTCAGCCTGTGATGGTGGAGAGCTGAGTGTGGCCAGGAGGTGACTACTCTGGATTGCTTCCATTTCTTGTCCCCGCAGTATTCTCTGTGTAACGACCCCCTCATCGAACTGTCCAATTCGGGGGCCAGCGGTTCCCTCTTCTATGTGTCCGGGGATGACGAGTTTATTATCAAGACGGTTCAGCACAAGGAGGCCGAGTTCCTGCAGAAACTGCTGCCTGGATATTACATGGTAGGTGTCACCACATCCTGGGTCATACCATGTGTGCTGGGAGGGGGGAGTACCTGCATTGTGTGTCCCATGCCCCAGATCATACCACATGTGATTGGGGGGGGGGATGTACTGTACCCTGTGTAGTATTTCCATGCCCCAGGTCATACAAAATGGATGCAGGGGATGGGGTGACCAGAATTCCCTGCATTGTGTGTCACATGCTCTGGGTCATACCATGTATGCTGGGGGTGGAGTATCATGTGTGTCCCATGTCCTGGGTTATATTATGTGTGACATGGGGATTTCTGTGTTGTGTGTCTTGTGCTCCATCCCATACATTGTGTGCTTGGGGGGCAGTGTATCCTGTATGTGTCATCTGGCCTGGGTCATACCATGTGTGCTGAGGGGGAGAGAAATGTGGTGTATCCTACATGTGTGCTGGTGGGGAAAATGGGGAGAATCTTGCAAATTGTCACATGCCCTGGGCCATACCATGTGTGCTTGGGGAATGATGTATCCCTCATGTGTCATATGGCCTGGGTCATACCATGTGTGTTGGGGGGGGGGGGGGGGGGGGGGGTGGAGGCGTGGTGTATCCTGCATGTGTGCGGGGGGAATGGGAAGTACAATGTGTTGTGTGTCCCATGCTCTGGGCCATGCCATGTGTGCTGGGCGGTGGTGTATCCTGCATGTATGCTGAGGGGGGAAAATGGGAAGTACAGTGCATTGTGTCCCCCATGCTTTGTGTTATACCATGTCTGTTTGGGGACGTAGTATCCTGTATGTGTCACATGCACTTGGTCATACCATGTTTGCTGGGGGGGGAGCAGAGTACCACACACTGATCCAGGCCACATGATACATGCAGGATACACAAACTGTGTGGTGGGGGGGCCTGTATCCTGCATGTATCACATGACCTGGGTTGTTCCATGTGTGCTGGAGGGGGTACTACCTTGTGTTGTGTGTCCTGTGCTCCAGGTCGTACCATGTGTACTGAAGGGTGGGGGGGGGGTAACTGCATTGTGTGTTCTCTCCTCTGGGCCGTACCATGTGTGCCGCAGTGGGTACTACCTGTGCATTGTGTGCTCTGGGAGAGATTGTACCATGTGTGCTGGAGGGGAGGTACCTACATTGTGTGTCCTGTGCTCTGGGCCGTACCTATGTGTGCTGGAGGGGGTACTACCTGTTGTGTTGTGTGGTCCTGTGCTCTGGGTCGTACCATGTGTGTGCTGGAGGGGGTACCTACCTTGTGTTGTGTGTCCTGTGCTCTGGGTCGTACCATGTGTGCTGGAGGGGGGGTACTACCTTGCATTGTGTGTCCTGTGCTCTGGGTCGTACCATGTGTGCTGGGGGGGGGGGGGGCGGGGGGGTGGGGGGTGGGTACCTGCATTGTGTGTTCCTGTGCTCTGGGTTGTACCATGTGTGCTGGGGGGGGTACCTGCATTGTGTGTCCTGTGCTCTGGGTTGTTGTACCATGTGTGCTGGGGGGGGTACTACCTTGCATTGTGTTGTCCCGTGCTCTGGGTCATACCATGTGTGCTGGAGGGGGTGGTACCTACATTATGTGTCCTGTGCTCCGGGCTGTACCATGTGTGCTGGAGGGGGTACGACCTTGTGTTGTGTGTCCTGCGGTCTGGGTCGTACCTACATTGTGTGCTCTGGGCCGTACCATGTGTGCTGGAGGGGGTACTACCTTGCATTGTGTGTCCTGTACTCTGGGTCGTACCATGTGTGCTGGAGGGGGGGGGGTACCTGCATTGTGTGTCCTGTGCTCTGGGTTTGTTGTACCATGTGTGCTGGGGGGGGTACTACCTTGCATTGTGTGTCCTGTGCTCTGGGTCGTACCATGTGTGCTGGAGGGGGGGGGTACCTGCATTGTGTATTCCACAGCAGGAGGTAATCCCATTATTGTCTTCTTTGTTCTAGAACCTGAACCAGAACCCCCGGACCCTCCTACCCAAATTCTACGGTCTGTACTGCGTCCAGGCGGGCGGGAAGAACATCCGGATCGTAGTCATGAACAATTTACTGCCCAGGTCAGTGAAGATGCACCTCAAGTACGACCTGAAGGGCTCCACCTACAAGAGACGCGCCTCGCAGAAAGAGCGTGAGAAAAGCTTCCCCACCTTCAAGGACTTGGACTTCATGCAGGACCTGCCGGATGGGCTCTTCCTGGACCCGGATATGTACAGCGCCCTGTGCAAGACCATCCAGAGGGACTGCCTGGTGAGGGGACCTTCCCAGCTTGTATTGCATTGGTTCTGACTGATCACGTGACCTCACCCTTCTTCTGACTGATCACGTGACCTCACCCTTCTTCTGACTGATCACATGACCAATGTCTCCATCTGTCCTCCTCCTCCAGGTACTGCAGAGTTTCAAGATCATGGACTACAGTTTACTGGTCGGCGTCCACAACATGGATCACGCGCAGAGGGAGATCACGGCAACGGATGGGGCCGCCTTGCAGTCCGACACACGGAAACCCATCACGCAGAAGGCCCTCTACTCCACCGCCATGGAGTCCATCCAGGGAGAGGCCCGACGAGGCGGCCCCATCGAGACAGACGATCAGTAGGTTCCTCCTTGTACCCCATACAGGGCCAATGAGCCAGACACTACCTGGTGTCCTCAAGGAACGGCCATGGTGTCCCCATGTGCGTTCCTTTGTGTGGGGTCTCCCACCTCCTCACTGTGTCACGGCTGAGCAAATTGGACCCAGCCTGGCTCCCAAGATGCACTGGGTGCTCATCCCACCCTTCCACCAAGCATGAGCAGTAATGTAGGCCAAGAAGATGTAGCCGAGGGGTTGGGTTGTCCCCAAGTTCTAAGCCATGTGACTTCTTCTTCCCGTAGGATGGGTGGTATCCCAGCCCGCAATACCAAGGGAGAGCGCCTCCTGCTGTACATTGGAGTCATTGACATCCTGCAGTCCTACAGGTCAGTACCAGACCAGCGGGCATTCGTAGGTTTTCTAGCCGCCTCCCCCCCGTGCCCCCCACGTCTCAATGTGGGGGGAGAGGAGCCAATTCCCACCTATCACTGTCCTCTTCTCTCCGCAGGTTCATCAAGAAGCTGGAACACTCCTGGAAGGCTCTGGTCCATGATGGGGTAAGTGGGGGAGGGGACATTAGAGTGTAAGCTCCTCTGGTACAGAGACTGATGGGACTGTGGGGGAGGGGACATTAGAGCGTAAGCTCCTCTGTACAAAGACTGATGGGACTGCGGGGGAGGGGACATTAGAGTGTAAGCTCCTCTGGTACAGAGACTGATGGGACTGTGGGGGAGGGGACATTAGAGCGTAAGCTCCTCTGGTACAGAGACTGATGGGACTGTGGGGGAGGAGACATTAGAGCGTAAGCTCCTCTGGTACAGGGGGAGGGGACTAGGGGGGAGGGGACATTAGAGCGTAAGCTCCTCTGGTACACAGACTGATGGGACTGCGGGGGAGGGGACATTAGAGCGTAAGCTCCTCTGGTACAAAGACTGATGGGACTGTGGGGGAGGGGACATTAGAGTGTAAGCTCCTCTGGTACAGAGACTGATGGGACTGTGGGGGAGGGGACATTAGAGTGTAAGCTCCTCTGTACAGAGACTGATGTGACTGTGGGGGGGAGGGGACATTAGAGTGTAAGCTCCTCTGGTACAGAGACTGATGGGACTGTGGGGGGGGGGGGACATTGGAGCGTAAGCTCTTCTGGTACAGAGACTGATGGGACTGTGGGGGAGGGGACATTAGAGCGTAAGCTCCTCTGGTACAGAGACTGATGTGACTGTGGGGGAGGGGACATTAGAGCGTAAGCTCCTCTGGTACAGAGACCTGATGGGACTGTGGGGGAGGGGACATTAGAGCGTAAGCTCCTCTGGTACCCAGACGGATGGGACTGTGGGGGAGGGGACATTAGAGTGTCAGCTCCTCTGGTACAGAGACTGATGTGACTGTGGGGTTGAGGGGACATTAGAGTGTAAGCTCCTCTGGTACAGACGGATGGGACTGTGGGGGAGGGGACATTGGAGTGTCAGCTCCTCTGGTACAGAGACTGATGTGACTGTGGGGGAGGGGACATTAGAGTGTCAGCTCCTCTGGTACAGACTGATATGAATGTGGGGGAAAACATTAGAGCGTCAGCTCCTCTGGTACAGACGGATGGGACTGTGGGGGAGGGGACATTAGAGCGTCAGCTCCTCTGGTACAGAGACGGATGGGACTGCGGGGGAGGGGACATTAGAGCGTCCCCTGTAGGTCCTCTGACAGCTCCTCTGGTACAGACGAGATGCGGCCGGACTCTCTGGGCCCCTGTGGGTCAACTGGAGCGGGGGGCATTAGAGCGTCAGCTCCTCTGGTACAGAGACGGCTCCGCTGGGACTGCGGGGGAGGGGACATTAGAGTGTCAGCTCCTCTGGTACAGACGGATGGGCCTGGCTCAGTGATCTCTGTACAGCGCCGCGGTATATGTCAGCACTCTGTAGCCGTGATTTGTGATCCGTGTTCTGTCCTTCCAGGACACGGTTTTCGTTCACAGACCCGGGTTCTACGCGGAGCGGTTCCAGAAGTTCATGTGTGGTACCGTGTTTAAGAAGATTCCATGTAAGTTCTGCTGTTGTATGTCTGGGCTGACCGCTGCGCTGTGATTGGCTGACTCTAGTCCACGCTGTGTAACCTAGGCCCTTTGTTCGCAGTGAAAGCCTCGCCATCCAAGAAGAGCCGGACGGTGCCCCGGGAGGCGTGGCCCGCCGAGCCACTCAGGCTACCATCCCCACCCAACTGCAGCTGATGGGTGAAAACAAGCAGTACCTGATCCCAGAGGCGGAGCCAGACCAAGGTGAGGCTCCTCCTTCCTCGCTGTCCTTTGTCCTCCCCTGTAGGTCCCCCCCTCTGACTCCCCTCTCCACGCAGGCGCTCTGTATGGACGGCCAGATGTGTTGCCGAGGACGCCCCCTGTAGACGAAGCGGCCAGTGACTCTCTGGCGACCACCCTGTCCACATCGTCACTGGGCAGCGGGGGGGGGCTCAACTCACCTGCACACAGGTAGGTGGCTCCGCTGGGACGTGGTGAGTGAGGTGAAGGTGTCGGGGGATCCGGGACTCATCCCTCTGTCTGTCTTGTAGGTCGGTGGGGGGTGGAAGTGCACAAAGCTGAAGCCACAGAGCAAGAATTGTACCCGCGGGAGAGGTGAGAGCAGCATCACGGTGTGCGGGGGAGGGAGGGCGCGGGCCCTTGAGGTGGGGGGGGGGCGGGGGGAGGTCTTTTGGGGGGCGTGGGTCCTCTTTGAAAGGGGGTTGAGGGAGGGTGCGGGTCCTCGATGGGGGTGGAAGGAGGGTGTGGGTCCTCGATGGGGGTGGAAGGAGGGTGTGGGTCCTTGTCCCTTGGAGGGGGAGGGGGGTAGGAGGGATGTGGGCCCTTGAAGGGGGAGAAGCTGTTGTCACCAGCATACAACACAGATTTCCCCTGCCTTGTCCCTTCTCCCCTTGTCCTTCCCTGCCCTTGTCTCCCCTGCCCTTGTCCCCCCTGCCTTGTCCTCTGCCCTTGTCCCTCCTGCCCTTGTCCCCTGCCCTTGTCCCCCTGCCCTTGTCCCCCCTGTCCCCCCCCCTTGTCCCCTGTCCTCCTGCCCTTGTCCCCCTGCCCTTTCCCTCCTGCCCTTGCCCCCCCATGCCCTTTGTCCTCCTGCCCTTGTCCCCCTGCCCTTGTCCTCCTGCCCTTGTCCTCCTGCCCCTTGTCCCCCTGCCTGTCCCCTTGCGTCCTCCTGCCCTTGTCCCCCTGCCCTTGTCCCCCCCTTGTCCCCCTGTCCTCCTGCCCTTGTCCCCCTGCCCTGTCCTCCTGCCCTTGTCCCCCTGCCGTCCTCCTTTGCCCTTGTCCCCCTACCGTCCTCCTGCCCTTGTCCCCCTGCCGTCCTCCTGCCCTTGTCCCCCTGCCGTCCTCCTGCCCTTGTCTCCCTGCCGTCCTCCTGCCCTTCTCCCCTTGTCCTCCTGCCCTTGTCCCCCTGCCCTTGTCCTCCTGCCCTTGTCCCCCTGACCGTGCCCCCTTGTCCTCCTGCCCTTGTCCCCCCTGCCCTTGTCCTCCTGCCCTTGTCCCCCCTGCCCTTGTCTCCTGCCCTTGTCCCCCCTGCCCTTGTCCTCCTGCCCTTGTCCCCCCTGCCCTTGTCCCCCTGCCCTTGTCCCCCCTGCCCTTGTCCCCCTGCCCTTGTCCCCCCTGCCCTTGTCCCCCTCCTGCCCTGCCCTTGTCCCCCCATGCCCTTGTCCCCCTGCCCTTGTCCCCCTGCCCTTGTCCCCCTGCCTCCTGCCCTTGTCCCCCCTGCCCTTGTCCCCTTGTCAATCCTGTCCTCCCTTGCCCTGCCCTGTCCCCCCTGCCCTGCCCTTGTCCCTGCCCCCCTGCCCTTGTTGTCCCCCCCTGCCCTTGTCCCCCCCCCATCCATGCCTTGTAAGTCAATGCCCTGTCCCCCCTGCCCTTGTCCCCCCCTCCCCCCTGCCCTTGTCCCCCCTGTCCCCCTTGTCCCTCCCTCACCCCCCTGCCCCTGCCCAGTCCTTTCCCCCCTTGATCCTCAATGCCTGTAGTCTGGTTGCTCCCGCTGTGGCCCCTCACTGCTCTGGTTTTGGGTTTTCAGGCTGGAGTCGGGGAAGACGGGAGAAGAGGAGGAGGAAGAGGAGGATGATGGAGTGCTGGACCCCAATCAGATAGAGACAGAGATCAGCTTTGTAAGTTGTATGTGACCCCCCCCCCTGTCACCCCCCCCCCCCCAGTCATGTCCATACCCCCCTCTCCTCATATCTGTCCCCCGAGTGATGTCTGTACCTGTACCCCCCCCCCCCCCCCCCCCCCCACCAAGTGATGTCCATACCCCCCCTCTCATATCTGTCCCCCGAGTGATGTTGTGTACCTGTACCCCCCCCCCCCCCCCCCAAGTGATGTCATACCCCCCCCCCCCTCATATCTGTCCCGAGTGATCTGAGTACCCCCCCCCCCAAGTGATGGTGTCCATCTCCCCCCCTCATATCTGTCCCCCGAGTGATGTCTGTACCTGTACCCCCCCCCAAGTGATGTCCATACCCCCCCTCATATCTGTCCCCCGAGTAGTGATGTCTGTACCTGTACCCCCCCCCCCCAAGTGATGTCCATAACCCCCCCTCATATCTGTCCCCCGAGTGATGTCTGTACCTGTACCCCCCCCCCCAAGTGATGTCCATACCCCCCCCCTCATATCTGTCCCCCGAGTGATGTCTGTACCTGTACCCCCCCCCCCCAAGTGATGTCCCCCCCCCCCCCATGTACCCCCCCCCAAGTGACCCCCCCCCCCCATATCTGTCCCCGAGTGATGTCTGTACCTGTACCCCCCCCCCCCCCCCCGAAGTGATGTCCATACCCCCCCCCCCCCCCAAGTGATGTCCATACCCCCCTCATATCTGTCCCCCGAGTCATTGCTATGTTTTCCTTTCGCTTTCTTCCTTCCTTTTTTTTTCTTTTTCTTCCTCCTCCTGGATGCCGGGATTCCCCGTCCTGATTGGACGCTGGGATTCTGCTGTGAATTTATTGGATAACCCACGTTATTAGACTGTGTCCAGTGATTGGCTGAGCTGATTTCTCCTCCCCCCCCCCCCCCCCCCGGTAGTCACGCCCTCTCTCTTTGCTTCTTTCCGCAGTGAGACGGGATTGGCTGTTACAGACGTCTTCACTCCTGGACCATTGGAGTCTCCCGCAGCCGCTGACCAATCCGCGCCGCTGAGCTCGACGTCCAGACCTGACCAGCGCTGCAGTGCGTGTGGATGGGGGAGGGGCCCGGCGCTCCTCCCCCCACCCCTTATCACTGACAAGACGCTCTGCCACCACGCCCATGGTGAATGTTACAAGCGGGGGGGCGGGGGGGGGGTGCCTCCTCTTCTGATTTGCCTTACCCTTCACGAGGAGCCCCCCGCTCTCCCCTCCCCCTCCCCCCCCTTTTTTTTTTTTTTCTGGATTCACGTTTTCCTATTTAATATATCTATTTTTTTGAAGTAGACAGTTCCCAGGACTTGTGCTGTTCTTGATGCTGCGTTGAGTAAACTCGGACCAAAAAAAAAAAAAACCAACTGAGAAAGCATTTGCTGCCCTAATTTTGGGGTACCCCTCCCCCCCCCCCCCCCCCCCCCCCCCCCCCCCCCCCCCCCCCCCCCCCCCACCACCCACCCCCCCCCCACCACCCCACCCCACCCCCGCCACAACACCCACCCCCCCCCCCCCCATCCTTGAGTGTGACAAGCTGTGACCTCATTATACGGTGTGACATCACAATTTACCTCCTCCAATCAAATCGTTACTGTGGAGCCCTTTGCTGTGTGCCAACTCTTCTGCCTTCGACGTCGGAGCCGTCACCTTTTTGTGCTTCTTTTTGTTTTGTTTTTTTTTAAAATTGCAATAATTTGGCCCCTCCCCTGCCCATCTCGGCCCCTCCCCTGCCCATCTCATCTCCCCACCTACACGGGGCTTCCTAAGTTTTGATTTTAGCCGTAGTTGGGTTCCTGAGGTGCGTCGGCGCTTTTCAATGGTTTCCTGCGGCCCGGCATGTGCTGCCATGGCGCGTTGATGGGGGGGAGGGGAGCGGGAGCGACGCACGACAAACGCACACGGGTGAATTTTGGGTGTTTTTGGGTACCTGAAAGTGACTTTTTTTTACATTTTTTAAGGTAAACGCAAGTGATATGTGTCAATGGGTGTTTAAAGCGCAGCACGGCGGGTGGAGAACGCCATAAATCGCAGGCGGGGTGACCGATGACTTGTGTGCAATTTCAGCGCAATTTCTGAAAACGTTTTGCTACTTGTGAAGATTTTCAACGATTTCTTGCGATTTTCTATTCTGACTATAAAATCGCAGAAAAAGTCCCGCAAGAGCGACTTTAGAAATGGCGCCGCAGCAAATCGCACGTGTTAGGGCCCCGACCTTCATTAGATTCGATTTCAGGCGCGATTTCAATTCGCAAATCGCGCCTGAATTCGCAATGGTGTGACCTGAGGCTCCACTCCGGCCAAAACCCTTCTTGCGGCTGTGAGAGGCAGAAAACCTCTGTTAGGCCTTTTTGCTGGCTGTGTCCCCATTGAAGGGAATTCCCCTCACTTCCTCCGCGGGTGACCCCGGGCCAAGCAATGAGAGCGAATGTCCCCGAGACAGGCGTTCAAAGCCTTCCTACTATACTGTGCTTTTGTTGCCGGCTCTGGTGTCGCTGCAACAGGAAGTGGCGGTGAATCTCCCCAGCGGGGGCACAGCAGACATAACTTCCCTAAAATGAAAAAATAAAATCCTCTTTGGGTGGAGTTAGAGAATCGTTAGAAGGAATTTTGGAAGTCAGTTTGAATGTTCATGAAGACGGTAGAGGGGGAGGGAAGGCGGGGGGGGTACGGTAGAGGGGGAGGGAAGGTGGGGGACGGTAGAGGGGGAGGGATGACGGGGGACAGAAAAGAGGGAGGGGGAAGACGGAAAAGAGGGGGAGGGAAGACGGACAGGAAAAGAGGGAGGGAAGACGGGGGACGGAGAAAAGAGGGAGGGAAGACGGGGGGGAGGGAAAAAAAGGGAGGGAAGACGGGGGACGGAAAAGAGGGAGGGAAGACGGGGGACGGAAAAGGGGGAGGGAAGACGGGGGGGACGGTAGAGGGGGAGGGAAGACGGGGGACGGTAGAGAATGGAGGGAAGACGGGGGACGGTAGAGAATGGAGGGAGGGGGGACGGTATGAGAATGGACGGGAAGACGGGGGACGGTAGAGGGGGAGGGATGACGGGGGACGGAAAAGAGGGAGGGAAGACGGGGGAAAAAAAAGGGGGAGGGAAGACGGGGGACGGAAAAGGGGGAGGGAAGACGGGGGGACGGAAAAGGGGAGGGAAGACGGGGGACGGAAAAGGGGGAGGGAGGGAAGACGGGGGACGGAAAAGAGGGGGAGGGAAGACGGGGGACGGAAAAGAGGGAGGGAAGACGGGGGACGGAAAACGGGGGACAGTAGAGGGAAGATGGGGAACGGTAGAAAAGGGGAGGGAAGACGGGGGACGGTAGAGACATGGGGGAGGGAAGACGATGGGGGACGGTAGAGAATGGGGGAATGACGAGGGGGACGGTTTAGAGGGGGGACGGTAGAGAATGGAGGGAAGACGGGGGACGGTAGAGAATGGAGGGAAGACGGGGGACGGTAGAGAATGGAGGGAAGACGGGGGACGGTAGAGAATGGAGGGAAGTTGGGGGACAGTAAAGGGGGGGATCAGTGGGGAGGAGGGGGGGATATTTCCCTACACCCAGCTGTTCCCCATAGAGGACCAGGAGACAACCCGTGTGAGAAGCATCAGATGGAAGCTGACATTTCCTGGCAGGCAGGGAGGTTGAACCCGGTGAGCTCTGATAGGTGGAATGTCACCGCCTTATACTGGAGTCTGATCAGTGAGGCTTGTTGCGATAGGGCACAATGGCTCGGGGGGGGGGGGGTGTCCCCCACCTAGGGTAAACAAAAAGGGGGTGTAATGAGAGCACCAAAAACTTGTATTCGTATTGGTTCATAAATGACATCCTACACCAACGCGTTTCGGGGCACAAAGACCTCCCCCTTTTTCATCAAGGCTACAAAAGGGGGGGAGGCTAAAATGTGAAGACCAGTGAAGTTCCAGAGTGCCAGATCAACATTCTGAGGGTCCTAAAACGTAGAGTACAAGTATTGGGTCATAAATGGCATCATAGGCCGCTCAACGCGTTTCCGGACACAAAGACCTCCCCCTTCATCGGGGCTGTAAAAGAGGCCAAGATTTAATGACCTATAAAGTTTGAGAAAGCCATCTGAGAATCCAAAAACATATAAATGGAATCAGACTGTTCAACGCGTTTTGGGGCACAAAGCCCATCCCCCTTTTTCAGGGCTCCAAAACTGATCTGAACACAGACCGACTTCTATAGAAACATTTAGAAACCAAAAAGTGATGTTTCTATATTATTTATATAGAAGTCGGTCTGTGTTCAGATTTGCTTTGTAGCCCTGAAAAAGGGGGGATGGGCTTTGTGCTCCGAAACGCGTTGAACAGTCTGATTCCATTTCTGAATACTCTGTTTTTGGATTCTCAGATGGCTTTCTTGGACTTTATAGGTCATTAAATCTTGGCCCCCTTTTACAGTCCCGATGAAGGGGGTGGTCTTTATGTCCCGAAACGCGTTGAACGGTCTATGATGCCATTTATGACCCAATACTTGTCCTCTACGTTGTAGAACCCTCAGAATGTTGATCTGGCACTCTTGAACTTGATTGGTCTTCAAATCTGGTCCTTCCCCCTTTTGTAGCCTTGATGAAAAAGGGGGAGGTCTTTATGTCCTGAAACGCGTTGAATGGTCTATGATGCCATTGGCGCACGTATACACTTCACGTTTTTGGATTCTTCGAATGTTTATTTGGGACATTCAGATTTTATAGATCTTCCAATCTGGGCCCCCTTTTTGTAGCCCTGAGTAAGCGGGGGAGGTCTTTGTGTCCCGAAACGCGTTGAACAGGCCATGAGGTCATTCTATGAACTAATATAACTTTTTTTGACTCTCAGATGGCTTTTTTTTTTTTTTTTTCTTTAGACTTTATTGTTCTTTACATTTGGACCTCCTTTTTATAGTCCTGATGAAGGGGGGAGGTCTTTATGTCCCGAAACGCGTTGGAACGGTCTATCACGCCATTCATGAACTAATACTCTGAAGTTTGCGGACTCTCAGAA